GTGCAGATCAGAGGCTCCAAATTGTTGGTTGAGGTCTGGTTTTATGAGTTCTCTGCGTCGGAGATTTATGGGCACTGTGGCCTTAAGAAGAGCCTGCTGTACCTTCTGGAACTTGATACATGTATCTGTTGATCGAGTTTTGGACTTGAGTGACGCTCATATTTCAGGGTTTACTCGTGTGCATTCAAATTGTGGAATGTTTGCAGGACGTTTGTAGTCCTTAAGTTTCATGCCGATCTTTTCGTCGGCGGCCTTGCGTCGCAGCATTTTGCCGACGACTGAGGCCAGTTTTTCGCCCACGGCAGTGCCGGCATCATGGTCGGCGTACAGCTGTTCGAAGGGTTGTAAGACCTCTCCAGTCGGTCTTCTCCTTCCCCTTGCTGTCCGTAATTCACTTACTGCTTTGTCGATTTCGACAGAGTCCTCCCCGGCCAGAGCTGCTTTCTTATACCTTTTGTTTCTTTGCAGGTGGATCGAAGAGAGAAGTGAGGACAGCCGTTTGGATTGTGACGGCATTGGAACATTCCCTGCCTCTCCCCCCCCCCCCCCCCCCCCCCACATTTGATTTTACGGAGGCCAAGTGTCCGGTGAAAAAACCGTGTCGACATTTCAGCACGGATGTGCAAGTGCCCCTTTTTGGTGATCCCCCCCCCCCCCCCCCCCCCAGTTTGAAAACCGTTCCGCCGCCGCTGCCCATGGAATTGCCTGAATGTTATGTCGACTCTGCGATTGCAGATGAGCAATTTCACAGCTTGTGACATACTAAGACAAACAAAACTTAACGTATTGTGGAAGGGGCGTGGCTTACTCGCATGATGGCGATGCCCAGTCTAATTCTACCTCCATGGTCTAACCTTCCCAAATAACTATGTACACTAATTATATTTCACTAACAGGTCTTTTATCCCCCTTTTCGTCATTCATCCGTTCATTTAACTCTTTAATCGTGTCTTCATTTATTCATTTCGTCATCTTTTCTTCTGGCCTCACAAGGCGAATGTCGGACACTTCGCCCCATTTCCACTTCGCCCCATGTCACTTCTCCCCTAACCACTTCGCCCCATCCCCACTTCGCCCCATTCCCACTTCACCCCATCCCCACTTTGCCCCATCCCCACTTCGCCCCAGCCCCACTTCGCCCCAGCCGTTACATGTAAAAAAATGAATCTCATCTATTTTATTGGCTTAAAAACAATCCCAAAAGATTCACTAATTGCCGCAGCGAAAATCATTGACTGATATCTGCTTGGTGTCATGCAGTCGAATGAGCATTTTTTTAAGCTCCGATTTTTAAAAAATTTTTTTTAAACACCTTTTATTAAACGGAAATGCAAACTGCATCCAAATTCCAAAATGTGAAAAACTTTGCCTGCACAAATTTCCCAACAGCGGCAGCACTCTTGAGCTACTAGTTTTCTGCATGCTGCGAGAAAAATAATCACATACAAGATTTCTGGCTACGCAACCGTTAGCTCCCATCCATGCATCACAGGGGCTTGGAGCCTCCTAGCAACAGTATTTCTAGGCAACCAGGTTGGAATGTGATAATTAATGGACACGCTGCCATGCAGCATGCACCTGTGGCTCAGATAGCTAGGAATTCCAGCATTATTGGTAATCGCTCCAAAGAACGTCCGCACTGGACTTTTTTTTGGTCAAACTAACCGAGACTATGGGTACTTTTCCCATTTTAAGTCCAGTGCGGACAGCCTAGGACGTTTTCCTCTCGGTTACTTTTCCTGAGTCCAGCGGTTACTTTTACTGGCCAACTGCTGCCCAGGAAAACTTCCCACGCGCCCAGGAAAACTGACCAGGTCACTTTTCCCGAGACGATAAGTCCAGTGCGGACAGTGCGAGTCGGTAAAAGCGGCTCAGGAAAGCGTACTTCCGGCCCGAGCGCCATGTTATGCATACAGAGACCGCAAGAACCTCAGTGCACGTGTGGCCGAACATTTTGTAGAAACACGCTGCGCCGTGTATCATCAAGTCCGAGCGGTAAAATCTCGTTAAAATATATATTTCAACGGACAAATACATACACAGAGAAGAGAGATCACGTTCTGAGAATTAATTTGCGGAAATTCTCTTTCTCCACCGATGTATGTTTTTTTCTACGATCCAAATTTGTCCTGATACGCTACTGTAGTCATGCACGGAACATCATGGTCCGGTACCGCACGTAGGCCGTAGTCACTGGTTCCTGGCCCACATCATAGCTTCGATTCTGTAAGCATGCGATGGGAACCAACGAATACTGATGGCACTGCTGCCGCACGGAACATCGTACAGCGGCATGGCTTCGACGACGTGCATCACAAATGCGTCAGAATTACAGGCCTTTTCGTCAAGATTTAGCGTGTCAAGATGAAATAATATCGTGTAAACGATTATGTTGTGCATGCAAATGGCGTGTGTAATATTACCGTGCGTATCGGCGGCTGAAAATGTCATCGGCAATTTGTTTTCTGTGTACGGTGAGTAATTATACTGACACTGTGACAGCTCGGTTACTTCTCCCACGCGGTCTGGGTAAATTTTCCCGTGTCGAAAGTCCAAGTGCGGACAGTGGTCACATTTGACCATTTCTCATTTTACTATCGTCTCGGTAAAACCTTCCAAAAAAAAAGTCCAGTGCGGACACGGCTATATTCATGAAAGCAGACGGTCCGTGATGAAATCAACCAATTGCGTTTTTATTTGCCAGGAACTGGCTCATTTCATTGGCTGAGATACTATCATCACTGTTTATCAGCTAGGAATTTTCCAATTACTGGCGGCCCGGTAAATGTAAATGATCGTGACCCTGTAAATGTGTCCGGGGGACACTTTTACCTAGGTAAATTTGTCCCCCTCCAGGTAAAAATGTCCCCCTGCCCAACGGTGAAAGTGTCCCCCTGGTAAATGTGTCCCCATGCAGTATGTAATAAGAGCAGCAGCGTGTTGCACGCGCCAGTACATGCTGCAAGATTTGAGGCTATGATTACACATTCGACATGTGTATATATATGCGTCTCCCTCTACAATGGAAATTCGTCCAATAGGAAATTTCGTTAATCCAAGGAGACGTTGTATCAATGCGACGAGGGCCATCGCCATGCATCGCCGCTGTGTTGGCCTATCGCGGTAGAATCGCGATAGACTTCACCGTACTCCGAATCGAAACATTGTGTTCACGTATCATCTAATAGACTAAATTAAATATTTTTTATATTCATGAAGGGCAGACTAAAAGTCCAAAATGTATACCTTGTAGAGTGAATTCATCAAAACGATAACCTTTTGGGTTTCAAAAGAGGAGGACAAAAAAAACTGGGGGACAGAATTACCTGGAGGGGACAGAATTACCTGGAGGGGGACAGAATTAACGGGCCAGGGAGGACACTTTTACCTAGGTAATTCCAGTGTCCCCCCGGACACTTTTACCGGGGGACAGAATTACCTGCCACACCGGCCGGGAGAATTAGTAATCTGCCCGGGCGAATTAGTTATCCGCCCGGGCGAAATGCTAATCCGCCCGGGCGAAATAGTAATCCGCCCGGGCGAAATAGTAATCCGCCCGGGCGAAGTAGTGGGCCTAAAAAAATATTTTCGGTCATGTCCTAAATACGCTTCCGTATCCGACACCCCACAAGGCGCTAGCATTATTTTTACACCCAAAATTGTAGCACGCGTTTACCTACTCAACGCTAGGGGCGCCCTTCCAGTTTTGGCCAAGTTCGCGCAAGGACTATCGGTCCTACTAAAGCGCGTCAACAAGCGTCAACAAGCGTCAACAAGTTTTAGTAGTCGTTAAGTGCGCGTCAACAAATTTTTTATAGGCTTTTGAACAATAAAAACAGCTTTATATGGTAGAAAAAGCAATAATGAACATCTTCTGCATATCAATTAAAGTTAAAATTATTTTAAAACTTGGTTTTTTGAACGCGAAATGTACGACGAATTTGTCGATAAAAGTAGGCCGCCATCTTGTTTATGTGTAGCTAGCCGTACTACGCATGCGTGAAGTGTAAAGAGCCATACTACGCATGCGCGAAGTCTACAGCGCCATCCAAACAAGATGGCGGCCTACTTTTATCGACAAATTCGTCATACATTTCGCGTTCAAAAAACCAAGTTTTAAAATAATTTTAACTTTAATTGATATGCAGAAGATGTTCATTATTGCTTTTTCTACCATATAAAGCTGTTTTTATTGTTCAAAAGCCTACAAAAAATTTGTTGACGCGCACTTAAAGACTACTAAAACTTGTTGACGCTTGTTGACGCTTGTTGACGCGCTTTAGTAGGACCCAGGGGCGTTTTCGAATCCCTGTTCTTGACAACACGCGTGTAACACGAGAACGTGTTCTCGAACTGGTTGTTACGAACGCGCGGGTGCGTGTCGCATCGATATAAAAGCAATGCAAAATGGCCGACAATCGTCTGAATTTGTACTTAGGCCTATTCCAAATGAACGAGGACAACTGTTGCAAAACCGGACATGCGGGGATGAAATTGCAGACCTGCATTATAATGGTATTCTTATTCCAATCATTAGGGTATTAGCAACAACAAAAAAGAAGCACAAAACAAGGCTACGACTATTGCGCAGTGAATCTGCACAGTCCGCCATTTTGTTCAAGCTGCACCTCGCCGAACCCTCCATCAACCGGGGAGTGAAAAAATCGATCCGCGAACGCCCTCTCGGGTCTGTTCGTCACGTTCGAGACCGCTGTTCTCGTGTCGGGTTAACCCGGGTGTTGTCAAGAACAGGGATTCGAAAACGCCCATGACCAATGGTTAACTAACGTTTGCCCGAACTCTGTCTAGTCGACGATGGTTGACTACGCAAGTCGACTATTTGGAACCAGCCTACTGGGGTTGGTTGCTTCGCTGGTAACCAATAGCCGCGCGCATTCATAACGCAAGCAGAGAGCCAGGATCCAGAAAGTTTGCGATGACATTTTGACCAGCGTTTGACTAGAGACGTTCGCACGTTGCTATCAGTGCGCAGGCGTAAGGTACGTCACAAATCAACCACTAGTCGACTAATGGTCCTTGCCCGAACTTGGCCTAGTTGCCTAACTTAATGACGCCATCGCGTACAAGTACAAATTACACACAGGAAAATCTGTTTTCCTTGCTGTTTGGGAAGCTGTGGATGAACTTGACTACGTACGCACCTCCATTTCTACTTCTCCCACCGTACGTCCTGCCATGGTGACTAATCGTGTAGTTTTAGGACCCCGTTTACATTATTAATAATAGGCAGTGGATATTTTGCCGGAGACGGCAAACCTTCAGTAAACGTTAGTTTGCCGGATATGCACTGAACATGCGCAGTTACTGTTTTTTTTGTACTCCAACATTTTCCGGTGACAAATTTTAGTCTGGCTCCATGCCAATATCATCGTTGTAACCTCGTATTCACAAGATGGGATTCAGACCATTTTATAATTTCGGACTTTATTTCCCTTTTAAAAAAAATCCTCCAGAGCCACAAATCTGAATCAGAAAATGTAATACTCTGCAATAAAATGTTTGAGACATGTTATTGTTAAAATAATAAAAGAAGAATATTCTTATTTATTTGGGGATGGAAAAAAAAACCTTAAAAATGTGGCGAGGATCAGGATTCGAACTCGGGACATCCCACTCACTAGAGCAATTGCTTATCCACTGCACCGCTTGTGCTACACAACTTTGATGAGAATTTAATACATATTATAATTCAGCCCTATCTTAAAGAGTACAGCGCCCTCTGTTGATATGGATTGCCGCCGGCAAACCTTTAGTAAACGTTAGTTTGCCGGCATTACCTCCGACAAAATATCCACTACCTTAATAATAACATGAGAGTGAGACTTGAGAACGAACAGTCCAAGACACGGACTCACACTCAGTCACTCAGTCACAGTAGTTTGTTTTGCTAGGCCCTACAACTTTTTTTCATCATATTCATAGACCTAGCTCGGTCACTTCATGTTCACTCTTTTTCAGCATAGTTTTTAGTGGCGATCGTGAAGTGTAGGGCCCAGTCCTGTTTTGTTTTGATCAAATTAGTCAAAAATATTTTTTATTGCTCAAAAATCACCTTTACAATTAGCTTGAGCATAGCTTGAGTAACTCCAGCTGACATGCTCATATTCATTCACATGTAGCGCTGGAGGCATAACCTGTTCGTTAGAATGTGGTAGCAAGAAGAGACCCTAAAAAAAAGGGCCTTTCAAATATTGTTTATTTTCACCTCTAATATCCCACCCCAGAGTTCATTTACATACCTCATACATTCAGCAGTCCAACAGGGAATGTGCTATGACTTTGTAATGTGACTATGACTATGACAGTGTAATGTGGAACGCTTGTATCGTTGGTACCCATGCTACTTTCACCATGTTTTCACACATGGGTGGGAGCAGCGAATTATTAGCAGACGATCAGCTGTTTCGAGCACCCGCCATGCATGTGAGTTGACGTTCAATTGTCATGATTACTGTGTTTAATGCTGTTTGTTTTCGTGATTTCACATCATATCCAAAGAATCCAAGACAGATACATAACAAAACAATTGTTGACTGCTGTGATGTGGGATATATGACGTTTTGAACACCTCAGTTGCTATGTGCCCCTCATCATATCCAAAGAATCCAAGACAGAGGTACAACAAAACAATTGTTGACTGCTGTGATGTGGGATATATGCTGTGATGAGGGGCGCATAGCACCCTCGGCTTCGCCTCATGTGCTGTGCGCCCCTCGGGTGTTTAACACGTCATATCCCACATCACAGCAGTCAGGTGTAAAGGTAAAGGGGGACGAACCTGTGTTCACAGGAACGGAGTGCCCATCTCTTTTTCATTAGCGATTGGGCCAGACTCATATGCTGCTGTGGGGGGATCGCCACACCTCCTCCACAGTGAGTTTGTTACCTTCCCAGCATTGAATAATGCCGGTACCCATTTAACACCTGGGTTGAGAGGAGTAATTGAGGTAAAGCGCCTTACTCAAGGGCACAACATGCATGAGAGGTTGTGAACCCACAACCTCTCAATCACGAATCCTGTGCTCCACCGCTAGTCCACACGTGCCCATCACGTGAGAGAGAGTTACAGCAGTCAACAATTGTTAATTGAAGTCCAGCTGTCTAATTTGATTAGCAATGAGAACGTACATTGACTCTCATACAACTTTGTTTTTACTCATCTTTGGACGCGCTGCAAAAGTAGCCCCTCAGTGTTGAAAGAGAGAGACAGAGTAAAAGCAGACACGTGTAAGCCATTGCACAAGTCTTGCATTAATCACTCTGCGTGAACCAATGTGTTTATGAACTGTCACCATCACTAGTGGCTCTTGTGAGTAGGCACGAGGCACCTATGACCATCTGCCATGTCTGCTGTTCCTGCATGGAAACCAGTCTACATACATTGTATTAAATGTGTATTGGTTTTCTTCACTACAGATGACAAAGCTGACCAGGTGTAGATTGCCCTGATGCAGTGACTTGCTCTGAGGATATCTAAGGAGGCGGCAGTTTCAATCCATATCACCATGCCTGTCAAACAGAAGAAGGAGCTGTATATCGCCAAGTCGATGCAAGAACTCAACCTAAAGGCACAGGTTGATACCGACAGAAACACAAAAATAAAAATGTAAGTTTAGGCCAAAAAAAAAATATTCGGTCTCTGGTCAGACCGAAGTTACGAAATTGATGCGGCGACGCGGTTTTTTTTTTTTTTTTGGTGGCTTTTTTTTTTCAAGCTTGAATTGTACAGTCAAGGTGTGTACTATTTTGCTTTTTTGTGTCCTCATTATACATTGGTGTCCTCCATAATTTGCCTTGGTACCCTTTATCATTTGCCTTGGTGCAATTTCCCCATTCCTTGAATCCTTGGTGCTCCTTGGTACAAAAATTTGAGGAGGTGCAGCAATAGAGGGTGCTGTTGTAGCTTCCGTGTTAATTTGAAGAAAAAAACAAGGTTGACGCGCATGATTAAAATCGACGCGCGCGCTGACCAGCGACCGAGTATTTTTTTTTTTTGCCTTATCTCAGAAGATACATGTATATTATGCAACTCTCTTCTTTCATCCTCCACAAATATTGATTATGGGTAGTTTTGGTCTGAAATTTGCTGATAATATTTAACATTTGTTGACTAGTGTGATGTCTGATCAGGGTTCTCCCCAGGATTTTTTCAAACCTGTGGGGGAAGTTTTGTTGTGATTCACCAACCTGCGAAGCCACGGCGTGGGGTTCGGGGCCCGCTTAAGGGCCCCGAAAAATTTTGAACTTTAGAGGCTCTCTGGTGCATTTTAGAGCAAATCTGGGGAGTCTTTAAGGAAGATTTTTCCTTAAAATTTAGAGGAGATCTTGTGATATTTTTTGTAATTAGAGAAAAAAAATATCAACGTTTTTAACTTCAAAAAAAAAAATCAACATTTCTAAACCTGTGTTAAACCTTCTTGATCTAGAAAGTATGGATTATATTTACAAGCAAGTTTCAAATTAAGAAATTAAGGTGAAGAAAAAAAATCACTTTTGCTTCCGACTACATGGCTTTCAAAATAGCGTCGGTAGGTCGGAAAAATTATTTCGCCATTTTTTTGGGCTGCTGATTGAATCATGGAGGAATAAAAACACATGATTGAATGGAGCATATTGAACAAGGAATCATGTAGTTTTGTGCCTGGATTATTTTCCTTTGCACCACGAAAATTATCAAGACTGACCATCAGAAGTGATTAAAACTTGCCTCACCTAATTAAAAATATATTTGAGGAGGTTGATTCCACTATGCTTAACGTACATCGATCACGGCCCCTGGCACTGCCAACATTCAGTCTGGCCGGCCGTACATCGCGCAGTATCAGTGTGCATTACTGCACTGTGTACGGCCCTACTGCTTCTAAGAAGCACGCTACGATGTTTCGCCACAAGTTCGAGCTTTGCAATCTCGTCATTTTAATGGAAAATACATACACAGAAAATAAAGATCACGTTCTGTGAATTAATTTGCAGAAATTCTCTTTCTCCATCGATGTTTGTTTGGTGTTTTTACGATCCAACTTCGGCCGACATCATCATCATGTATGCACGCACGAGGCAGTAGTCACTGGTTCCGGTCCTTCATCATAGCATTGATACTGTTAGCACGCGAAGGGAACCAGTGTACCGTGCTGTATGCGCTAATATATAGCTGGCGGTTGACGCGAAAGACCCGTCATCGTGTGCATTTTGATCACGCATGCATCAGAAATGCGGGATTTTTGTCAAGATTTTGCATGTCAAGATGAAATAATGGTGTATGAAACGATTATGTTGTGCATTTTAATGGCTTGTATAATAATTATATTGTGCGTATCGGGGGCTGAAAAATGTGATCGGCATTTTTGTCGGCGTATCGGGCCGCAATTCCAGCGTATCGGGCCGATACGCACGTTTGTACGTGGGGAGAACCCTGCTGATATAACGTTTGTAACACCTGAGGGGCACATAGCCCCTAGGGGAAGCCTCGGGTGGTATGCGCCCCGACAAGTTGAAATGGTTAGAAATTACACATACATGTACATGGAAGATTGCAATGAAATCAGTGCGATGTAACTCCAGGTAACTGCAGGCTTTCCTGCAGGACATGAGACCGAACCCGGTTGTGCATGCATTGCATGTAGCTCAGTTGCAAGCGAGCATGTAACGTGCATTTGTATGAGGTTAGCCATTGTACATGCATTTTTATAGACTTGACACGTGGCCATACTCGACTAATGAAATTAAAGTATCCAAGCACCCGATATAACAATAATAGTCATCCCATGAGTGCTAGTGGAACATGGAATAATGTAGTGTGTCTGTTCGGTCTCGTGGTATGTGGAACGCAAGACGCACTACATTTTTCGTGTTCATGGGAGCAACTTTATCTTCAGGCAAACTTTATGCACAGTAAAGATGGCAAACTTTTCAGCAGGTACTCTATTATACGTACACACAAGAGGAATGGCACATACATCTTGGAGTAGCATGAAACACAGAAGCGATATCAATGTCTGATTACGTATTTAAGTGAGTGGTCGAGCACAACCGACCACTGTCTAGAATTGTTCCGATTAATCTTCTTTGTTTTGTTTTTTTCCGGACAATACTTCTCAGCGTTTTTTCTCCTAAACGATACATGATACGAACTTGTAAGTTCCAGATGTTGGGTGTTATTACTACATACACTAAAAATGTCCATATTTCTATGGGTTATTTTTACCTAATGATAAACAGGTATCCTCCTTGAACTAAATCAGTATTCCCTTCCCTTTTTGACTGATGACGTCATCAAATCGGAAATAACTTGAACGTGTACCTAATATGTATACTGAAATTAATCATTCCCTAATAGACGCATTTTTTGTACAAAATAAGTGGTTGCTCTGGAAAGGTTAAAGTTCGAGAATCTTTGTTCTGACATAAACATATTCATAACTTAACTGGACAATGTATAATGAAATAGTTGTCTACCCGACCACTCTGCGTTTGTAACATAAAATGCGAACCTCTAGTATCGCACTGTTGTTGCCATGGATCGACCAATCAGGATCAAGAATTCAAATCTGAATATAATATACTTGATAAACAGCTCTTCAGTAACAACAAAGCTGCCAAATTATCAGCATCCAGACTCCAACCGGTCTTAAAGGGAATATTTTATACAATATTTGCTTTTGCTGCAATTTTCAGAAATAAATGGATTTGGAGGATTAGTACCGGTATGTTATAGAAAATATTGTTAAACTGACTTGCTTCATGTTTTGGGTTCGTTGGCATCGTTGGGAATGATCACAACTTTTAAAATCGATCTGTCTGAAATATATTTCTTTTAATTTAAACAAATTTTATTATCGGCAAGATTTGATGACTTTTTTGGAGCAAATTTGGTGTGGTATCATTGTAAAATACACCACTAAAGTTAACCCTTACTCTCTGAGGGTAGTTTACTGCATGTCAGTTGGTTATGCCAATGCCCTCCAGCTGCAGTATATTGGCAGATAAACTATCTTGACAGTGAAGGCTCCAATTGGCAGGAGTTGGAGGCCCTGGAGGGTGCCTGATACTGACCAGCTGGGGGCACTCACTTTGTTATCAGAGGACTCTCATTGTTCTCTGTGGCATGTATTGGAGTGCCTGTCCAGTTACCCTTGAAATGACATGGCAGATATTGGAGGGCCATGCAAAAAACATAGGAGATTTTCTTGAGGCACATATTGGCATGCGTTGGAGGGTCAAGTAGGGTAAGGGTTAATCAGCATAAAAGTGGCCCCTTCCCCCCCCCCCCCAAAAAAAGTCCTGATTGACTGACCCTATTTTGAAAACAACATGGGATGCAATTGTGACCTGGAAGTCTTGCAGGGTTAGGGTTTCACTAAAAGATACATGTATAATACCACTGCAGATATAATACCTTGGGATCAAAAACAGTACGTGTGACTGTTTGCTTTTCAAGTTCAAAACCACTTGCCTGGGTTGGAAAAAAAACCCTACAGAAAAGGTACCTACATGTACATGTACACTGAAAACCAGTGTTGGAGGTCTCTAGGAGGTTTAGCTCTCAGACCCTTTCTTGCCACTTTGAAGGTCTTGAATTAAGGAGGTCTCAGTCCATTGATGTTGTGATTCATTGCCTCGTAACACCCTTTTGAGAAGGATAAAAACAAAAGTTTAGGGTTTTGAACCATACAAACTATTCAAATGAGGAGTTTATTACAGTTTTGTTACACCATTGATTTGGTAATTAGTGTGCATTAAAGATGTTGTGTAGCATCAAAACTGAGAATGTCAAGGAGGAGATAGATATTATCTTCTAGTCAGTTAACAATCAGACTCACCAACGCAAAGTTTAAAAAAGGAATAAGACAACAGATGAAGATGAAAGAAATCCCTAAATTGTTCCAGACCATCATTGTATGTTGTACTAATTTCATTCTTGGATGGCCTTTTGCAGCTCTAATCTTTATAACAAACATTTTGAAGATACATGTATGTGACACATTGACAATAGATTTATTGAAAAAAATACCCTCCAAAAAAATCATGAATATTGTGTAAATTCATGACGCTGTGTCTTTTAAAAATATTTCTTAATTGAGATTTTTTTCTTCAGAACATGAGTGAACGAGTACGAGTATTTATAATTTCTTCTTGACAGATAATGGAAATTTCATCTTTAGTTTGGATTTTAAAAACACACACTGTATGTTTAAGTGTCATAGGTCTACACATTCCTAAAATATACACACATGTCTGAATGTATTTTGATGTGACAAGAGTTGATGATCTGTTGTAGAACCTGTTCCAATGGCTTGAAATATATGAGAAGTGTTTGTTGTAATCAAATGAATGGCAGTGTTTAAAAATTTGATATTTACAAGAAGAAATGATGTAAAGATTTGTATTTTCCAGTGATAAATGTTGAGAGTGAGTTTTATGACCAGTTCTGACTGGTTTACTTTCTTGCAGATACTGTCGGTCTGCTGATAAGATGTTTCAAGAGGCTGAAAAAGCTGACAGGAATCAGGATGAGGAACGTGCATATGTCCTGTACATGAAGTTTACTTGCTTAGTACAGTATATATTAAAAGCAAAGGAATACAAAGCAGATAAGGTATGTACAAGATATCTACCAGCTGTACCACATTGTACATTATTCATTGATGAATCCAACATGTACATGTACGCATGTTCTGAAGGTGATAATAATTGTGTATAACATTTGAATAATGAATGACACATGAATCAATTGAAATTGTCTATAAAAAGCCTGTATATAAAAACCTTGTCATCCCACATGTAGCCCGATGTAGGTATGCACAATCAGCAACATTATTTCATTGCCATGCTATTGTGGAATTTTTCATTATCTCAGGCTTGCGATTTTTCAGACTTTATCTGAAATCAGACTTTTTGAATCTGAGAGAAAGACATTAGTAGTAAAGAAAGATGTCTTTCAGAAATTTCATCAAATTTCAGACTTTGTTCAAAATTGACAATCTCATCCCTGTTATTATCAAGTGAGTATAGTGTCAACCTAAGTTAAGTTTTTTATTAATTGATAAGATCATTAAGATGTATTCATAAATACCTTAGACAGTAATTATCAGCACCCAGACTCAAGCGGTCTTAAACAAAGTGATTAAAACCTCCCGAGCACACATTTATTCCCTTAATAACCCTAACCCCCTAGGCCCTTTTTGCTTAGAACCATCCTCAATCCTCTAAAATCCTCCAAAATTTTGCAACTCCGCCTAAATTTTTCAAAATTGTCAGACAGTCCTGCCTCAAAATGCATTCATCGTCAATCCTCCAAAATCCTCCTCATCCCAAAATTTTGCACTCATGTTTAAATGAAGGATAACCAACGCCAAATCCTTCAAAATCATCAGACAGTCCTGCCACAAAATGCATTCATCCTCAATCCTCCAAAATCCTCTTGTGCTTCAATCACCATTCATCCTCAATCCTCCAAAATCCTCCAAAATCCTCATGTGCTTCAATCACCATTCATCCTCAATCCTCTAGAATCCTCCAAAACCGCCAGGAGGATTTTGGAGGAGTGAGGTGGGTTAGGGATAATGGTTATTTGTGGTGTTGCAATGTTGATAGAAGTCAGTCTAATACAGACACTGCATGAACCCATTTCCGTTTTCGGTTTCCTCAGAGCCAATCCTACCTCCACAAATCAACATTTACCACTGAATTTTGTTTGTTTGTTACAGGAATATTATGACTCCCTTGGAGGCATAAAGAATGTCTTGCCTGCTATTGAAAAGGCTGAGTCTCTTCAAAAATCTCTAATAAAACGGTAAGGAATTAAAATTTCAACAGGTAAATCACTTTTTATGTATTTGTTAAAGTCATGTTTATGCATGAGTGCATACAGCTTTATATTACATTGAATATCTTCACGGAACTAGATTCTGCTAGTGATAAAGAATGAATGGCTTTGGCATTGGTTAGTCGCAAATGATAAAAGTAAAGTTGACCAATGCCCTGGTATTTGGTCCTTTTATTTGGGACCCTTCACATACAGGAATGTATACTCTCTTAAGTGGTTCCTTTTCAAGTTCATAGAGTACCATTAATTAAAAAGATGTAGTTTAGTGACTCACTTTTGTTTCCAATTAATAGAGTAATTTGAGGAGATTAAAAGGCCAAAGAGAATGAGCTTTTGTTCATACCTACCAAAATATGGTTAATAAAAAATCAGGCTTCCTTTGTAAGGCAGTAAAAAGGGAAAACAAAGAAGAATGGAGGTGAAACATGCAGAGTACCGCAGTGTGCCATATATTCTTGTTCATGCGCATAGCTTAAGGGGCCATTCAGAATAGTGTGTTTAAAAGATTTGATCGTTTTTCGAAATTGTGTGTGAGTGGGTCAAAGGAAATAACTGAAAAATCAAAATTCAGTTTTTAATTAAAGTAATAGAAAAAGAATACTGAAAGAAAAAGGGGAAAACCCCAAATACCCAGCGGTCTCTCAGAGGTCGTCCGTCGTGTTTGTGCTGTTCCGTTGTAATTGGTTAACCTTGTTTCGATCGCCGACCTTTGGGTCTCGATAGTCCACCTCGTTCCAATGGTAGATAAATGGGGAGATCGCGAGGGACCTTCAAGCATATGGGGACGAGGTTGGGTTTATTGCAAACATTGAAGTATACTTATTTACAATTCTCTGTAATGGTCAGTGTTTTTTTTTTCCGGTACAACGTGCGCTGGCCAATACGGAAGTACAACAAGGTTCGGTACATCCAGGCTTGAATTGAAGACTAGAGCAGCGCTGACACATTTTTTTGCGATAAACATGGCTGCCATCATGAGTGCATTTTTGTGCAAGATCCTGCCGGATCTGTAACACTTTCGGGCAAAGTAAAAGTTTTTTTTTTTATAAATATAGTGGCATAGAAAACTGAAAAACATTGTACAAAGTTCTGTGTGCTTGGCAATTTCCTCTTCTGTTTCAACTACAAAGTTACATGCTGGAAGCCTGGAAAAGCCATTGAAAACTCCTGAGCTGGGACAGCATTGACCTAAAATAATTATCTGCTTAATTTGTAGCATTACTTTGTACTTCAGTACATATCTTGAGTAATCATTCAACATATAACAATAAAAATGGGGGGGGGGGGGCAAATCAATTTCTAAAAAATATTGAAATTTTTAAACATCGACTATTCAGAATTAACAATTAAAGTGTGTGAAGACAGCAGGATGCGAACCAGCACATGGTCCAGAACAAATCTAGCTGATGTCAGACTTTGGTACTCTTTTACTGTGACATCATGGTTTTTGTAATGTGTAAATCAGGGTGCTGTTTTGGCACATGAACACAACTTGAGTAATGTGACAACTTAGCTTGGAATGCTCAGTAACATGGCTGAATAAACCACTTATCTTTTCCTAAACTGAACTCAATCTTGCCATGAGTTATCATTTAATGGTGACATCATCAGATTTCCACTAGCAAGCCAATTTCTTTAACCCTTCTGCTGTTTAATAGGTCACAAATGGTCAAACTTTCCTTCCACTTTCCCTGCTGTACTTTTAACAAACCTATGGGTCACCTGACCAATATTGACCCAAGTAACAGCATGGTTCAGCTAAAGTGACTACAATGAACCAAATACAAACTAGACCTGCACTTTTGTTGAGTTACAAATGTAGGGTGATCAGGCAGACGATTATGTCACCAGACACTGCCCAGTTAACTTAAGAATTCTTTCATCAGAGCAGAAAAAAAGAATCAAGAAATTTGGACTGTTCCAGTTGGTCCATTTGTTTTAATTTGAAAACAATGCATCTTTTGGGTTTGATAAATGTCAGTATGCATTGTGTTTACTGGTACATGTTACGGTTAATAGATGATGTCATCTGTTAAAAAATGTGCAAACCAGAGAGGATGCATATCAAGTGAAAAGGACGTCTGAAAATATGAAATATACAATGAATGTACAAGTGTGTGTACTGATAACACCTAGCTTCTGGTGAATGACATGACAATGCAGCATTAGGAAGTCCAAGGCCAACATTGTACCCGATATCATTACTTGTGCCACAAAGTGTGGGCAGCATGTGAATGGGACATGGCACAAGTAGCCATGATGTTAATAGAGTAATGATAGCAGTCACTGAGGAGGTCATTATATAACTCTAGCCTTATATCACAATAAGTGATTTCAGCAAAGATGAAACGGCATCCATTAATTTGTTACCCCCCCCCCCTGCCTCAGCATGTATATGACATGTTGTCACAGTGATGTATGGACCACATACATAACATGTATGCAAAGATCATGTACAGATGCTTGATTGACTATTCCTCTTTTAGTTATGAGGATCTAAAGGAAGAGGAAGAGATCAAAGCCAAATTTGAGACTGAAGATCAGGCATCCCAGGACAGTGTTGACAAACCAAGAGATGCAAACATAAATGGAGAGGCATTAAGACAGGATGCTTCTCTTGAAAGTACAGACTTTGGTGAGCAAATTATTTATTTCATCCTCATCTTTTATTTAAAACTTTTATTTAGTAAGCAGTGTACATTATTTATTATGCCCCGCGGCGAAGCCGAAGGGGCATACTGTTTCCGCCTTGTCCTTCCGTGGGTGGGTGTGTGCGTGCGTGGGTGGGTGTGTGTGTCCGATAAATCTTGTCAGCGCGATAACTTGAGAAATACTTAACATACATTTATGAACTTCAAATTTGGTTTGTGTATTGTTCTTGGTAATCCTAAGAAGCCTATTGCATTTGGGGCCGAAAGGTCAAGGGTCAAGGTCACAGTGGCTAAAACAATAGAAATCTTGTCAGCACGATAACTTGAGAAATACTTTACATATGCACTTCAAATTTGGTTTGTGTATTGTTCTTGGTAATCCTAAGAAGCCTATCGCATTTGGGGTCGAAAGGTCAAGGGTCAAGGTCACAGTGGCTAAAACAATAGAAATCTTGTATTTATTCTGAGATCATAGGGATTAATTCATATAAAACCTACAGAAAACACTAATGCTGTCAATGAACGTTCCATGTGACCAAGGTACATGTAAGTTGATAAAAGAGTGGTGTTATGTCATGGGAACAGTCACGGTTGCAGGGCATTTGTGTTTGTAAACACACCTGACTTGTTTTATTTATTTATTTGATAACCAACAGCGGAGACGGGTATTTACAGGTATCGTAAAAATATATAAATATACATGTACTTATTTAAAATTACAACTAAAATTTAACAAATATACATTTTTAATGCACATTTTTTAATCAACAGGAATATTAACCATTACTGATTAAAAAACAAACAAGCAAACAGACGACCCAACAACAAATATATAAAACAGGGAAAAAAATTAAATAATAAATAAACAAATAAATTAAAACTAATTAAGTATTAAAAGAATATACATGTAGATGAACAAACGAGCAAACAAACAAACAAACAAACAAACTGACAACAGACATAGATAGACAGCTGTACACCCCGACAGACCAACAACAGACAGACCAATAAACAAACAAATAAACAAACAAACAAACAAACAAACAACTCCAACAAACTGACAAAAGACAGACAAACAGACAGAGACACACCGCCCAACAGACAGACTGACATCAGACAGACCGACAAACAAATAGTTCCCCTTAAAAACCCAAACAAACAAACAAACAAACAAACAAATTCAAAATATAATTAAAATTAGAGTTCAATTAAAATTATCAGTTAAGATAAAAACATTAAAAATCTACATTAATGTTTTTGGTGATGTTAGCATAGACCATTATCTTGATGATGTAACTGACCAGCGGCTGCACTGTAGATGTTCAGAACTAATTAAGTGTTAACTGTTGAATACAGTTAGATATATATATCGGTACAATGTTCAAAACAAATGGAGGCAAGCAAAGTATTATAAGATGGAATTTAACAAAATTTAACATGCAAAGTAGATTATAATTTTGTTACATAAAAAGGCTTAAAAGATACCTGGATGTAATAAAGAATTAATAATAAAAGCAATGCATAGTAACCTTGTCAAATAGAGGAGTATGTACAGTGTCAATTATTCCAGAAGCATGTTCTACTCACGAATAATTAAGTCTGTCTGTGTGCCATGTGCCACGAGGCTGATAATGAATTAATCTTCAAGCAAACTTTAGGCACAGTCCCCCATGCATGCTGTACATGCACTTTTCAACAGTTATCCTGCTACACACACATGCAGTAGGAAAAGCATGTGCATCTTAAAATAGCATGATATGCAGAGTGCGATGTGGGACGTGTTATTACGTATAATATCAAATTGTTGTTGCAATGGATCAACCAATGAGGATCGAGGATTCCAGTTTTCTAGAAGATATATTTTTACATCTTCATTTCTGGAAACCCTGACTTTTAAGGGGTAATGTAAAAAAACCCAGCCGTTAAAAAAGAAGGGAAACAAAAAAGTTTAAGTGTATATTTTGTAATTTTGATTCATTTTCATAAACTCAATGAGTTTATTTCTTGTGTCATTCCAACTTGCAGGTCAAAATGGAGCTGTGACTGCTTGCCAACTTTACAGGCTGTTCCAGGATAGCACAAGGAAGATTCTTGTAATTGATGTGAGATCTAGTGAGCAGTACAAGTCTTCACATATAAGGAACCCACAAGTTATCAATGTACCACAGGAAGTTATCAAACCAGGGTGAGCATCATGACACCAGTCAGCCAATAAGATCTGTGTCAAATCACCACAGTTTTTATTGTTTCATTACTTACCTAACACAATGGGGTCAGCTGATAGCTATCTACCAATCAATAGCCTTGAGGACATTTCTCGCCAAGATTGTTTCACAGTTTGTAAAGTTATTCATAACACACATCCTGTTGTTCCCTTATCCCAGTTGGTTAGATCACAGTCATGTTGGATGTACAAATATAGGTTAGTACACGAATTAGATGTGCATCAAGTACATTGTGTGTGCAATATACATGTACTTGATGTAGTGCCTGAAGCCCATTTCACAAACCTTTACGTGATGGCATACGGTATCTCCTCATGCTACATTTTAAAAAGTAAATTTAGTAAAGTAAACCATTTCACGTTGTGCAACACTTCACATTGTGCAACATTTCAGTTATGACACAAAAGTTTCAAGTTGCATGAGCCTACGACTTATGCAGCAATGTATTACATACATTGCACAGTCATTTTAGGTGGCTTAAGTTACAGTATAGCAACTGGCTATATTATATTACTATACCTCATACATATTCATGATCCTGAGCCAAACTGTCACTGGGCAATTCACCATCACATACCAGATGTTATTTTTGCAGTTTACCAAGCGGGTGCTCGAGGATTCACGCACAGGGTAAATGCGCATGCGTCGTAGACTGTTGCTCAGGTTACCCGTACGACAGTCTACTATGCATGCGCTTCACAAAGCAATTGTGGAACTATCGCATGGGTAAAGTATGCACGCGCAAACATCACCCAAGCGAGCTACACACGAAGAGATGGTTGCACAGTACGTTATACATTAGTTTTCCCGAGCTCAATGATGCCGAACCGGAGAATATTTTTTGGACAATAAATACACTCACACACTTACAACTGTAGTCACTGTAATGGAAACGAATTGAAATGGTGAAGTTGAGCAATAATATTCTTTTGGTGAGCTGGACAAGTTTCTCCGAAGATTTTGTTTTAGGTGCTTACTGCAACAACAACAAAAATCAGCAGGTGAATATGTACGAGGTATAGTAAAACAAATATAACATGGTTTATTTTGGGTGGACAGTCGGTATTATCTCCGCTTGGTATTGAAAGTTGACAAATAATTTCGTCAGATTTGCCTCGGGAACTAGTTTGTCAACTAGTTTGTGAACTAGTTTATCGACTAGTTTATGAACTAGTTTATCGACTAGTTTGTGAACTAGTTTATCGACTAGTTTGTGAACTAGTTTATCGACTAGTTTGTGAACTAGTTTATCGACTAGTTTGTGAACTAGTTTATCGACTAGTTTGTGAACTAGTTTATCGACTAGTTTGTCCCCAATACCTCAGGGCTAATATCGACCGTCCACCCTCAAACCATTTGTACACTGAGTTATTGTGATCATTGTAGAATGATCATTGTAATTTCACAGCTTTGTTTTGTAGGTACACAAGTTGCTTTGTTTAAATTGCGGTATTCCAGAGAACGCCCGACAAATCTATTTTTGGCGAGCTGCGAAGCAGATGCGAGCCTATGTAATACCAATTTCCGTCCGTCTGTCCGGGCGCCCGTCGGGCCGGGCCGCCCGTCTGTCCGTCCGTCCGTCGGGACGTCCGTCCGTCTGTCCGTCTGTCATTTTGGGGATGTGCATGAGCTTCTGGTTTGATCTTTTAGTTTATGGGGTTGGAGTAGGGATGGGGTAGGGGTGGGATGGGGTAGGGGTGGGGGGGGGTGGGGTGGGGTGGGGTGGGGTGGGGTGGGGTGGGGTGGGGTGGGGTGGGGTGGGGTGGGGTGGGGTGGGTGGGGTGGGGTGGGGTGGGGTGGGGTGGGTGGGGTGGGGGGGTGGGGGGGGGGGGTGGGGTGGGGTGGGGTGGGGTGGGGTGGGGTGGGGTGGGGTGGGGTGGGGTGGGGTGGGGTGGGGTGGGGTGGGGTGGGGTGGGGTGGGGTGGGGTGGGGTGGGGTGGGGTGGGGTGGGGTGGGGTGGGGTGGGGTGGGGTGGGGTGGGGTGGGGTGGGGTGGGGTGGGGTGGGGTGGGGTGGGGTGGGGTGGGGTGGGGTGGGGTGGGGTGGGGTGGGGGAGGGGATAGGGTTGGAGTTAGGGTTTGTGTGAGTAGGATGAGTAGGGGAGCTAGGATGGGTGGGGCGGGGTGGGTTGGGGTGGGGAGAGGGGTTGGAATACTGGGTTTGGGTGGGGTGGGGATTTGTAGGGGTGGGGTGGGAACAGGTAGGGAGAGGATGGGCATGGATGTAGGGGTTGGGTTAGGAGGGGGTTGGGGAGGGGGCGGGATATAGGATCGGAGTAGGGGTTGGGTTGGGGATGTGTAGGGATGGGTAGGGATGGGTTGTAGGGGTTGGATAAGGGGAGGGGGCAGTATATAGGGATCAGAGTAGGGGTTGCATGGGGTCAGGTGGGGATGTATGGGTGGGGGAATGGGGTGGGCGGGATATTGGAATTCGAGTAAGGGTTAGGATGGGGATGTGTAGGGTGGGTAAGGACAGATAAGGGAAGATAGGGTAGGTGGGTGTAGGGGGTGGGGTAGGGGAGGGTACAGGTCAGGGGAGGGGGAAGGAGATAGGGATTGGAGTTTGAGTAGGGTTGGGATGTGTAGGTGATAGGGTGGGGATGGTTAGGGGAGGATGGAATGGGTGTGGGTAGGGGGTTGGGTGGGGGAGGGGGCGGGTTGGAGATGGGGTAAGGTTTTGGGATGGGGTAAGGTTCGGGGGAGGTGGTGATGGTGCTGTGTCTACATGTACAGTATGTATACCCATTCTTGTTCTGCATTTGTGGCGACTTCACAAGAGTTTTCCCATGGTACTACAAGTATGGGGACCAGAAGACACTGTTGGGGCTGCAAAAATCCACAAGTGGGTCCTAATTACCCTAACAATGGAAAACTCCCCCATAATACAGTGACGGCTAACCTATATACATATATATTTATTAGGTAATCTGTTAACTTTTTTATGTTGACATTTAAAACCTGACCCCTGCACCTAGGCACATCAACAAGAATCCTGATCCCCTTCCATCATGCCCATCCTCAACCCTACCTTCAGCCTCCCTTCCTGCCTTGGACAGCGAGCCATGGCGGCTTCGCCGTTCTAGTTTAAGTTGCGGTGATTTACCAACTATTTTGAGCCTGGCTTAAAAACATATACAAACAGCCACTGTAAAGTCTGCTGTTATTTTGGGGTCGGGCTAACTTTCAACCTGTGTACTGCATGCACTTGTAGGCATTAATTCTCCATTTTAAATTGTACACAAAATCATAGCCTTTGGTTCCATGAAACAAGGATGTTTTACAATGTAATACTGTATATGCCTTTTTTCCCAGGTATGTGGAAAAGTTGCATTTTTAAAGAAAAAGGTACTTGTCTGTAGGAATGCAGTTTGATCAAATTTGCCCACAGGAACGAATTACTTGTCCTGTGTAATCAGATAAGCATTTTATTGTCAGCCATGTTTTGAACATTGATCACCCTTTTGTATATTCTTTAGAACCACTGTAACTCTGATTGCTAAGGGCCTTTCATCTGAAGTCAAGGAGATGTGGAACATGCGAGGTAGTGTTGATTGTATTGTGATGCTCGATTGGAATAGTACAGCTGGAGACCTGACAAAGGGTTCCACATTGGCAAGCTTGAAAGATGCTCTCAGCAAGGTAAAGAGATAATTCAAAAGCCTAAAACAATTTCACCAAACACATCTTAACTTAGTTAATTGTAGCTTAAGCAACATGTCTTGGAAAGAAAGTAGTATCCAGGCACCACTTTTTTGGCTGTGTACAAATCCTGTGGAGAGTCAATTGCATTGGGACTTCATAGCTTGTATGAGGAGCTTGCAACACTGTCACAGTGTCTTTATTAACTGGCGTTGTTGAGACCCCTCAAATGTTTCTCATTCCAAGATTAATGTATTTTCAATATTACTGCAGTGACTGACCTTCAGTGAGATACCGGTAATATATGATTAAATAAAAAATGGCGTCAGGATGCAGCATTCTTTCCAATGTCTTTAGCTGTTTACCCTGAAGCACATTAGCAAACATTTGGGTCATGTAAAAGAATAAATTTCAGGTGATATAATTTTGGCGTAGTCCCACATGAGATGCACAACAAGTTGGTGTGATGTTTCCCCCGGGATGCTTTGCTGACCATATGATACAGATACAGATACAGATGAATGCTGCGATGCATGCAGTACACCATTTCACAAATCAAAATTTGTTTTGAAAGTGTGTTGCAGTATGAGTGTATTTTGAGCACGATACAGTATCAACGCCTGTTTCATTCATTGACACTGATATTAAGCAAAGAGTTGGTGGAGTTTCTCTCCAACGTTTCAATATATACAATTGTGAAAATGGACATTTTAAAGTTGACTTTTCAGGGTAAATCACATTTGCTTGAATGTACATGTACGTGTATCTTTGAATTACACGTATTGTCTCTTTATTAAGGTCTTGTTTCTTTGTTATACAGTAAAAAGTGTTTTTGAACGAAAGAGTTGATATGTTACACAGACACAATGGAACAGACACAATGTAACTTGTAACTCATTGTATTGTGACTTCGTTTTACTGTTGTCAAAAAAAACATGATGAGTTTAACCAATTTTAAGTTTCTTATCAAAGGTTGAAGTAGTATATTTTAGAAACTCCAAAATATTTCCTTGAGATGGAAATGTGCATTTTTCATTATTTATTTTAAAAAAATAAAAAGGTTGTGCAAGTTTCGTGCAAACCACAAGATAATTGGTCAATTACTGAGCTCAAGACAAGATCAATTCCAATGCATTAATTCTTTCACATGTCAGAAATTTAACAATTAACCGAACCTTCCTGTTATTTTCCTTTGACAGTGGGATTCAACAATAACTTTAAAAATGGAGCCTGTTGTGCTGGATGGAGGATTTGGAAGTTGGTTGTTGCGATATCCTATGTTTACCACCAATCCCCATGTGACCAGGCCACCGGTGGATAGTGCCTCTTCAACAAGTTTGCACTTGTGTAGGTAGCATATGCTTAGCATATGTTTGGGTCTTACTTTCTCATTGGTATTTTATGTCACATGAAAACTTTCTTCTGGAGTAGAAGTAATTTTTTTTTATAAGATGAGGCTTTGCCTCACCTTGTGTATGGAGTCCATTGACAATATTGTTCCTCTCTGTTCCTCGGTTAAGGAACCATGTATGTATGCACACACACTCACTGACATACAATGATGGCATGTACAAATTATATTTTGTCCAGCTACTAGAGACAGGTGTCATGACTTCAATTTTTTTGTCCACAGTGGATTTTGACTATCCATCTCTTGAAGATGATCAGCCAAAGCCTGAGACCAAACCAAGCCCACCTATTCAAAATGGACCTGCGGCAAAGCCATCCATTTCTGTTGGTCGTAATGAGCAGACAGCACTATCTGGCAATGATGTCAACTCCGCAACCAGTTCTGTATTATCCCCTGCTTCTTCTGCTGTCAGTTCTTTCAAAAGTACCCCCACTGTCAATAGATCCAGCAAGCCCAAACAACTAAATGCAAACTCATATCCAACGAACATTCCTTCAGCAATCTCAATGAATGAAGATAACACCATGGAAGTAGCAGCCAAGGTTTCTCTGAGTTCAAATAAAGAGGAACACGCCTACAGATCAAAAATAAGTGTGCCTTCAGTCCCAGATGCTGAATCCCCTCAATTGTCTAATGAAAAGCCAGTGATTCCTAATCGATCTCTGAAGCCATTGGTACAAGACGATAAGACGAAAATTGCAGGTAAAGAGAATGGAAATATTGAAGTAATAGCTGGTGAGAGTAATTCTAAGAAAGAGAGTGCAATAGGCAACCAGAATCTGATGAAAGAAGTCAGGCAGGTGGACAAAGCAGATAAGGAAGAGAAAACAGGAGGTGAAGGAGAGATAGCAAGGATGCAAAGAGAACATCGAATACAAGAGCAACAGGCTAAGTTGGAGCTAGAGAAAATGAGACAGGAAAAGATGAAAACAGAAAACAAACAGCTACGCCTCGAAAAGGCACATATCGAAAAACAACTCGAAGAAAAGGTATTATAAATATGCGTAATTCATCACGAGTAAACTATACCCAATATTAAATGACATTTTTCTGTTGCCTTTGCATTTGTCATAATGACAATCCATCTCACTAAACTGATGGAAAACAAAAACTGTTATTATGTGTTCATATCAGTGCACATTTCAACAGTAAATCCCGGCCTTATTTGATGCCAAATACATCTGGTGATTTAGTTGTCTTTTTGTTACCAGTGGTTTTAAAGACGAGTACAATACATTTAGCTGTAAAAGATTAATTAAAAGAGAAACTGCTGAGGACAGATGTCTGTTTGTAATGGATGTAATAATTCAGGGAAGACATGGCATTTGTACAATGCCTGTTCCACAATATAGTGGTCATTGTAGCAGTAAGTGACTATATAATGTGCTCTCTGACATTCCAGTATGGCATTTCACATCTTATGACAAAACTTTCTCTTATTAATCAGTATTTTGCATTGTTTTTGTGCGTTGACTCACAATTTTTGTTTTTGTACCACAGATAGCAGCACTGAAACGTATGCAACAGGAGCTTGAGGCACAACGTCAACAAAAACAGAGCAAAGAAACAGTTGCTGAAGATGAACAGCATCGATTGCAGAAGGAAGAAAGAGAGAAGAAAGAAGCTGATGGAGGATGTGATGCAAAACCACTACGGTTGAGTGCAAACCAAGGTGTCAAACAAGATGTCAAACTGCAGGATGAAGCTTTGCCTAAGCTAACGGCAAAAACTTTAGATTCTCCAGTAGAAGGAGATTCAGAGCCTCAATTACAAGAGGAGATAGGTAATCACAAAACCTCACGTGAAGATACAAGGAAGCCAGCACAACCAGTTAATAAGCATCAACAACATGCCTCATCTACACCAGTCACTTCTATGTCTGCCCCATCAGTTCCCATCTCAACGCCATCCAATACTATGCAGATATCAAGCACTGGTACTACTTCAACATTACCTGCTGGCTGGGAGAAGAAGCTTCATCTTACCAGCAACAAGTATTATTACATAGATCATAATACAGGGACTACTCACTGGAGTCCTCCTACTATTGGACCAGGGGGAGCAGCAACAACAGCTACTGCATCATCTACAAAGCCTGTTACAACAGTATCTTCTGAACAACGGCTTGACACCAGAGGATCAGGTATATATGGTTTACACTTTCAAAAGATGGAAACTTCAGGTAACTGTTAAAAGATACTGTTGAAAGGTGCACTGCATAGACATAAGTGTAACAATACCATTTCCTTGCATCTGAATTCAGAATAGTTCAATTGGCCTTCATTCTTTTATGATTAAAGTAGTCTTCAAAAACGTCTAAATCTCTACAATTTAAGTATTATTTTGCACAACAGTGAAAATGTAAATTCAAAATTCTGGGCCTGAAATAAATTGTTTTGGTTGCGGAATTGTACAAAAATGACAATCCTTATAATGCAAAGGTATGACAAGTTCACTTAAGGAAGTTCAGTTTTTTCCAACTGTGACATGATGTAGTACAAGGTCAAATATGTTAAAACATGTTTTGAAGGAATTTCCATACAGTATGATATTGGCACATAGATACCCCTCTATTACATGTATCAGGATCTCCGTCAAAGACTTCAACTCCGTCTTCTACCACCAAGACTCGCTTGAAGTCGGACTCATCAGAGGCTCCTCAATCCAACTTGAAGAGATCATTTTCATCACCAAATGTTGCACAGATGGTCATTAATGAACAGGAGGAGATACCTCGAATTCCATCTGTTAACAGAGCTAACAAGCCAATACAAAGGTAACTTGTTTATACAACTATAAAAATGTACAGGATGGGGATTTCATCAAGTTCATTTTCTTCAGCTGCAAAAAAATGTAAAGGAACATGCAATGTAATTCTTTTAATACAATTCTCGAAAATGCGCCTTTGTGTTCCATTCAACCTTTTTTCAATTATTGTTTTGCCATTTCAAAGTTTTTTGGGGTTTTAATGCTTATGCCAATTTACTTATTCATGAGCAAAATTGTGATGTAATTCCGGGCAGAAACCTCAATGTTATAGCTATTTCAGCACAAAAAGTTGCTGGAATTTGGCATGTTTTGGTGTCTTATTTTCTCTTTTGTGATTCGTTGTTGAGTCATTTCATTGCAGTCAGCTAATAAGCAGCCCTTTCTGACAAATGTGTTCAATGAGCAAATGTTTGGTTTACAGTGTGAACAGAAAACCCTTAAACTGAACAGTGTTTTCTTGAAAAGACATCAAAGCAACAGTGCCCTCAGTTGTCGGGGAAAAGCATGGACTTTTGTTTAATTGTTTAAAAAGTTGCACATTCCAATAAAATGAACCAAAAAGGGATGTCAAATAGGTTCATACATTTAAGAGAAGTGGAAGTTGCACAAAATGCGTTCCTAGGAAAAAATCATTGCATGCCCCCTTGTGTGTCAAAAACCACAAAATAGCAATGGCTGTATGCACAAGTATAAATTGTGAAAATAATATTGGGCACTTGATATACATGTAATTGATAGGTAATGATTCTCAAATGAACTGATGGAAAATGTTTCCATGGAGCAGCAAATTTAGTGCTGTTTGATTAATTAGTGTCTATTTATTTAAGTTAATACACAGAGCCCATGTACATTGAGTCAATATTGTACTTTGTATTAACTTTATTAAAAGGTGCATGTTGTGAGTGAAGATTAATGTTGGAAAAAAGTGCAATGATTATAAATAATTCAACTGTTTCTTTACTTCATGTGCTTTGCTGATCTCACAAACTAGGAATGTGACGTTACCATTTTCACGAAGGGATGGGCATTTCAAAAATTGTTTTTTATTTCAGTTTTGAGTCATGTCACTTTTTGCTGTAAAACATCACACTCAACCAGTCTGACTTGCTTTTGGAAGCAAATGTTGCTTGTCTTAATAACTATGGGGCCTGACATCACCATGGTTGCATTTTGCATTTTCATTAGAACTACAAAAAGTGAGATTCCCGCTTTCCCTAATGGACGGACATCGTTGATACATTTTGGATGCGCATGCATGAACATACACGCCCACTCCCTATAGTAAAACACATTGCACAGAAAGAATTTTAAATTTGGTCAACTGGAATTTTCTTTTAACAAAGAGAGGGGTACCTTTGCTGGTAATTTTGTCTAAATGACAACAGTTTCAATGGTTACCGATCACTGGAAAGGAAAGTTCTCTAAGAATCATTTTATTGAATTTGATTGACTGCTTTGAGTGGATGCATTGTAGTACATTTTTCAATTTGAAAACAAGAGAACTTTTCCTGCATGTTTTCTTTTAAGTTGGCATTCCCATCCTTTCATGCAGATTGTAGGCCAGAAATTGTAGGGTTCAGCTTTTAATAACCAATTGCTAATATGATTAGCTCATATTAAGGTGATATCCCAGAGTTGTGTTCCATTGTACTTGTACCAGGATGCCATCTTCTTCAATAGTACAGTCAGCACAACCTAAAATACTGCCATCTGTCACACGGGCACGCAACCTCAATCCAGTCTATGGTAACCAAGTAAGTTACATCGCAATCAGTTTTATTCCAGAATTATAGATTCATATCTCAAGAAAACTAATCCTTTTGAATGTAAGAAAGATTGAATTGAAGTGAGAAATGAGTTAAGACCCAAATAAGAGATGCTTGTGTGGCCTTTATTGCTAGATTGTACAGAACAGTGCGTTAATTCAGCAAACCAACCAGGATTTTAGCAATATGTTCATGCGTACCCATATCTTTCTGCTAAAGTTTTGTGGAGTAAAAATATTTGAATACCCAAAAGGAGTCACATTTTGTAAACATTTTGGGGACGAATACTACATTGTCATTTTGATGCATATTCGCATTATCTACACAGGGACGATCGCTAACTGGCTTACGTAACCTTGGAAACACATGCTTCATGAACTCGGTAGTCCAGTGCTTAAGCAATTCAACACCGCTAACTTACTACTTCATCACTGACAAGTATGTTCCTGATATCAATAGGTAAGTTTCATCTACAGTAAAAAGTATTGTAGACATATTGCATGAGCATGAGAGACCAAACTGGTTGCTATATTTGTTGTGAGCTGTTTCACGGAAGGTCAATTACATATAGGCAATTCCATGGTAACTCACGTTACATTTGGAGGGGGTCTTCTGTCAACTCTGTGCTGTTATTCTATAAAGTAAAAGCATCTAGGGTGGACTTTTAACAGAAGATTCCTTGAAACTAAAGTGACTAAACTACAAAAAAAACAGGGGCCTACAAAAGAACTTTCTGTTTTCAAACATTCTTTCAAGACCCTCCTTTTCCCAGAGTTTTTTTGAACTGCCTGATTTTTTTCTTCTTCTGGATTGATTGTTTTGTTAGTCGTTTTGTCATCTTACCCCTGTTTGTTTTTTTCCCCTGTTCAGTGTTAAGTGCTGTGATCTTGGTATAGCGAGGTATAAATACTCTAATATGACCTTTAGGAGACACTTTAGAGTCATGTGGAATTTGTGAGACATTTCAATGTCTCCCTAATGCCTCGGCCTGTATTTAGAGGCAAAATGGCTAGATCGATTGCTCGTGGTACAATTACTAAAAAAAAAACCTCAAAATTTGTGGCAGTAGGATAAGGTAAAATTGGGGTTAGGGGTCATTAAAGTTGGAAGAAACTTTGTGCACAAGTCTATGGGAATGTCTCCCCAGTGATCCATTATTGGTAATTACTTTGTTGCCTAAACAAAGTTTTTGGGGACACTTACCAGTTCTAAATTCTGTATGTCCGTATCCCCGTATGACAGTACACACCAGAGGTACTTGTGGGGTACCCGAACAAAGGGAACGGTACCCCACAAGTGAAATCTTTAGAAAAAAAGATACCCACAAGTGAAGGCTTTAGAAAAAGGGATAAAAGAACAACAATGCTCCCACCCCGGAACTCCCATCTGCTGGAACGTCCAGCAAGTCAGCTTCTCAGCTGCCAGTAAGGATGATTAGCCCCAAATTATTATTATAAAGGTGCATGTCAGAAGCCATGAATCTGTAATGGTACCGTAGGGTGAAAATCAACAGGGTATGAACAATTCCATAGGAATGCTTTTGTCACGGTTCATTTGAATAGTTAAATATAAATTTTTTGTCATTTAGTCTTGCAAAAAGTTTCAAAATGGAGATCTGTAAACATAGAATACATCAGATAAGCTTTGAAGATTTGCATGGTGAAGCTTACCATTGCATCCTGTGACAAATCTGTTTTTGTGGCGGGCAGAGCATACTGTCCGAAACATTGAGTTTCCTCAGTTCTTTTCAGACCCTCAATATTTACAAAAGGAGGTTTGTTACATGGTGCCACAGTAACTTAATCTTATAGAATACATCCTTTTCAAATAAAATCAGGTTCTTGGTTTTGGTAGAGTCCATATCTACTGTTTTCTAGAGCTTTTTGGTTGAGGCCTGCTTGGAGGACTACTGCATTGAAATATTACTTTCATTATCAGGCAAAATCCACTTGGTCGTGGGGGTAATGTGGCGCAGGAATTTGCTGTAGTGATCAAGGCTATTTGGTCAGGTCAGTATCGATCCATCTCACCACTAGACCTCCGTGACACCGTCACCAAGTATGTTCCTGAGTTTCGAAAGAACATCGGTCACCACCATGACTCACAGGAATTTCTCTTATTTCTACTGGATGGATTACATGAAGATCTCAATCAGGTTTGAAACATATTTCATTAAAGGAACAATTGTGTAATCGCTTTTGGATTGGCAAATGGTGACAAAAATATAGGTTGCCACTGTGGATAAAAAAGGCAAAAATTTGATTGGTTTTGTAAAACAGTGTCAAAAATTAACACCAAGTTAGGTCAGGTAACCACCAAATTTTGCTTTTTTGTCGTTTTTGGGGGGGATACTCTGATATTATTGTTTTAGTTCATGATATCATGTCACTTCCCAGTGTATTAACCAACAAAGTGCCTGCACTGTTTGATATCAGTCCTGAAAATGTAGAATTGATAAACTTAAAGCTCCCATTGTCAGATTTCAATATAAGGCACAGTGCCCAGTTCCTGTATTTAAAGCTAATGTCAGTACATGTAGGCCAAGGATTCACTTTTAAGTTTCTTTTTATGTGCCCAAGGTTAAGAAGCGAGAGTACATCAAAGAGGAAGAATTAGAGAAGTATCCTGACCAGACAGCTGCTGAAATATCCTGGACATATCACAACCGACTCAACCAGTCCATCATTGTTACATTGTTCCAAGGCCAGTTTAAATCAACAGTCTGCTGCTTGTCATGTGGTCACAAATCTGTCAAGTTTGAGGCATTCATGTACTTGTCACTGCCTCTTCCTTCGTCAAGCCGATGCACATTACAGGTAGCGTCCATTTGAAAAATGTAACACTTCATTTTTTGACAACTTGTACATGCATGTTGTTAGATTATTCAAAATTTAGAGGAAAATGCAGAGGGAATAAGCTGTGTCAGTGTAGTGTGAATTTAGGACAATGAAATACTGACTCATTGGTAGTATTGTGTATGCTTATGCGAGGATTGTGAATGTTCAACTAATAAAAGGGTAAAAAGGACCAGATTTCATAGGAGTCCAAATTTCATGTGACACAGGAAAAGCATTTAGACCGGCCATGTGATGGGCTCTCGACCAATAGGAATTGGTAAACTGTCTTAGGAATTTATAAATGTACATGTATCTTGCATATAAAACTGAATCTTTGAATATGTTAAATATTGAAAATTATGTCAATCATCATCCATTTGAAATTGACTAGCTTTCTGTGCTTTGAGATCATCCCACATTGAAGCTGATCCTCAGAATTTGTTGATTAGGAAGAATCTTGTTTCTCATTTTACAGCAATGTCTCAAGAAATTCTCAACAGAGGAAAAATTGAGTGGAGACAATGCTATTTACTGTTCCCGATGTAAAACCAACAGGGATTCTGCTAAGGTCATCCTCATCTGGAAGCTACCCCGTATCCTTCTAATACATCTCAAGAGGTATTCATCCATAGTCAAAATGTTCATTTATTACAAGAAAGTATGTGGCTGACAATAATTGCTAATGATTTTCCAATACTCATTTGTACATTAACCCTCAGACCAGAACAAAAGAACCTTGCGTGACTGAATATGTTGAAAACACCAAACCCCCCCCCCCAAAAAAAAGCGGAATTCTGTTATTATTTCTCCGTTCTGAACCAGCCTGTATTATTGAGAATACCACCGATTTCCCTGAGTTCCAGTGGCTTTTTTTTATTTCAAAAGCATCAGACTATATGTTAAAGCAAAATGAATCAAAACAAATGTAAATAATTTGTACGTTGGTCTCTTCCCAACCCTTGCAGTCAGTGGCGTAAATCTGTGCCGTTGAGTGGGGGGATGGGGGATGACCAAAATCCTAAAATTGCAAATTGCCCGGCCGTGGAAATATGAAAGGGGGGGGGTGCTCTTCAGGATAAAGATGTATATCAGTATGTATATACTCAGGCTAACATTTTTCAAGCTTTTGTACTTTAATTTGTTTCTCCATTGTTTAGTACTATTAAGTTCATTTTAGGTGTTTGGACATTCGGAAAATACCTCAAAATCCGCATATCATTTTCTCATCATAAAAACTTCGGGGGATGATTTCATAGCCCCCCCCCCCCCCCCCCAGTCTATAACATGATTTGAACATGCATTAACAAAATGTTGAAACAGCCATGTGTTAATTTGTCCACAAACATAAAGTCTTGTTTTCTATTTACTCCTGTTTGATTATTGTTGGCACCTTGTACTGTTTTTTTTTTTTACCTTTTTTTTTTTTTTAACATCTTCCATGCTGTTAGTTGCATAGTTCCATGTACATACATTATAAATGCATACATTGTAGTTGTTTTTTGTTTGTTTGTGATATGGTTTTAAACCAAATGAATGTACATGTACCATATTACATGTAATGTCCCTATGTAGCCAGGCCTGGATTAAGTGTTTCATAGGCCCTACGCACTAGTGTTTCGTAGGCCCTAGTCCGCCCTAGGTACCAGTAAAACGAACCGCACCTTGCATTGGTAATATAACTCTATTATGCCCGCTGGCTCGCGTGCCGCGTGCTTCAGAACGACAAACATTATGTAAATGTTATACCTACATGTAGTACACATGCAGCTAATCTGCGTCAGGTGGGTAAAATTATAGAATTACCAAATTCCTGATACAGTTTGCCAAAATAAAATCACCTTTTTAAAGTTATGTGAATTAAAACTGGATGGTATGTGGTTTATTGAGGGAACTTACCGAACATGTTGGCCGCAATCAACTCAGTGGAGGTTTACTTTCCGACATTTCTGACCTGCAAAGTCTTTGATGACCTCGTCGAAATAGAGCAGCTGCAGCAGATCACTTTCTATAGACAGAAGCCCAAGTGATGTCAGACGTTTTTGGTCCATGGTTGATCGTAGGCAGTTCTTGAGTCTTTTCAGTTTTGAGAATGAGCGTTCCCCTTCGCAACTTGTGCCGAAAATTGACAGGGAAATCCTCAAGGCAACATTTACATTTGGGAAGCATGAGACAAGCTTTTCCTCGATTTGTGCCTTCAACATTGCAGAGGCTGAGGTTTTGTCTTTGTGCATGTTCAAATACAAAACAAACTCGTCTACAAACGCTTTTTCGAGATCACATGAGAAGTGTTCTACCAGTTGCTGAGCATGGCTTGCTGCTGCATCACTTGTCAGATTTCTGTCCGTGAGGAAGCCAAACCCGTCATTGAGAGTGGCAGCTCGTCGTTTTTTTCATCTCAACAATGAGACAGTCCACTATGGGAATGAATGTCTGCAAGCGGAATCTTTCCCTCGCACTTAGGCTTTCTGTGGTGTCTTCGCCTGATTCTCTGAAGAAGTTTTTCTCACCCGATTTTGTTGTGTTACTTCTCAGTACTCACTTGAGCTGATGTCCTTTGCTTTGTGTTTGTCGATCACTGTTCATGTGCGATATCATTGAGTGTCTTGTGAATTTTACCATAATTGGCGGACAAGGCTCTTATCGCATCACTCCATGCAGACCACCTGGTTTCTGAAACACTCTGTACAAGATGACTCCTTTTTTTTATGTTTCCCAACAAAAAAGGACCATCGCTTTGGTGATGCAGACAGGAAGGTATATGTGGACTGCAAGATTCTGAAAAAGTTCACCGCTTCCAGGCAACTTTCGTCCGCGGCCGAGCCCACCAAATTCAAGCTATGGGCAGCACAAGGTACCCATTTGGTCAGACTGTTAACTTCTCGAAATCTCGCCTGAACTCCAGAATACGCTCCACTCATGTCACTTGCATTGTCGTAGGCTTGTGATCAACAGTTGTCAATGCGTATTCCGTGAGAGTGGAATGTCTCTTGCAAATGTCAAAGAGGTATTTGCCGTCATGCTGCTCTATTAGTATGAAGTGCAAGAATCTCTCAGTCACAGTTCCATCCCGGCGTGCAAAATCGGAACACTACAGCTAGCTGGTTAATATGAGCAATGTCGGGTGTAGAATCAATACTGATTCCATAATATTTGGCATCCTTGATTTCAGACACAATCTCGGATACTACCTTTGCTGCCAGTATTTCAATAAATTCGTCGCATATACAGTGTAGTTGAGGAAAGATAAATGAGATGTTGCCTTTGCCAGGATTTCCACGTCTACAGAGATGCTCGGATAGAAAAGGGTCGAACTCCGCTAACAATTCTGGACAGCCGAGGTAGTTTCCTTTTCTAGGGCAGCCAAGGATTTCAGTATCACCACGGAAGGGTAACCCCGCTCGATCCTAGAAGATTTTTGTAGTGTGAAGAGGTTCGAAAGTGCGCTCATGTGATCCTTGGATTGTTCGTGGAATTTAATTCTGGTGTGTGCATTTTTCCAGTCATCAAAACCAGTTTGAAATTGGTGTTCAGATGGTGCTGTCATTGAAAACAACTTGCAGACATAACAATACACTCTGGCAGTTGAAAGGGAGTAAATCAGCCAGTCTCTCTTTACAGTTTCTCCGTTTGCAAGTTTTCTGTAGAAATATTCTTTACTCCCGTACCTTATCTTCTCGCCAAATGGCCTACCATACTGTGAGAAATCTGCATGCAAATTTTGGTCAGGGATATGTTTTGCAAAATGCTCCTTAAGACACGGTCTTTTAAATACCATTTGGGAGGATCACCTTTGAAACTGGCCTGCGGTATTTGTTCAGGTTCTGGTTGACTCTCATATGATTCATTTTGTCTAACATGTTGGTTTGCAATTTCAGCAGTCATTTTTGGCACTGAGCTGCCACCAATGTTATTACCAACATTGTGACTTACCAACATTGTTTTCCTCGGTACCACCATTATCTACATCGTGATCTTGGTTTTCCTCAGTAACTCCGCCACCATTGTTACCTACATCGTGATCTTGGTTTTCCTCAGTAACTCCGCCACCATTGTTACCTACATCGTGATCTTGGTTTTCCTCAGTAACTCCGCCACCATTGTTACCTACATCGTGATCTTGGTTTTCCTCAGTAACTTTGCCACCATTGTTACCTACATCGTGATCTTGGTTTTCCTCAGTAACTCCGCCACCATTGTTACCTACATCGTGATCTTGGTTTTCCTCAGTAACTTTGCCACCATTGTTACCTACATCGTGATCTTGGTTTTCCTCGGTAACTCCGCCACCATTGTTACCTATATCGTGATCTTGGTTTTCATCAGTAACTTTGCCACCATTGTTACCTATATCGTGATCTTGGTTTTCCTCAGTAACTTCGCCACCATTGTTACCTATATCATGATCTTGGTTTTCCTCAGTAACTCCGCCACCATTGTTACCCATATCGTGATCTTGGTTTTCCTCAGTAACTCCGCCACCATTGTTACCTACATCGTGATCTTGGTTTTCCTCAGTAACTTTGCCACCATTGTTACCTACATCGTGATCTTGGTTTTCCTCAGTTACAGCGTCAGATGCTTCGTCGGTGTTAACTGCAGTCTCGGGATTTTCAGGAATCTTTTTCAAGAAATTCAGCAACGAACCTTTCATGCGGCTCAGTGATTCTTCCTGCTTCTCTCTCTTCTTGCGCTTCGCGTGACCCGCCTCATGCTTTCTCTTATATCCAACCGACATGTTGACTATATATACTTGACTTTCAAATTCTATAATGAACAGATCGCTGACAAATTCTCAGCCGTGGCCTGGCAACAGGTGTATCCTATTCGTGTTTAATAAGCAGCTATCAGTAGACACTATCACGAATAGGCCTGGCCTATAATAACACACGCACATGTGGACACAAAACCCATGGTACTGGTACAGTTTCATGCAGCTACGAGTTATTACAAAGTATACATGTATTGAGGTTCGCGGTATGGGAACACAGTCAGCTATGTTCTAGCTAGTTTAAAGCTTTCCAAAAATCAAAATTCAGAGAGAGAACTGTTGAAACTTAAAAAAATTATTTGTCATGATGATGTGATATGTGACTTATCACACACTGTCGCACACTGTAGTATTTTCGTAGGCCCTCAATTTTTTGTAGGCCCTCGAATTTAATCCGGGCCTGTATGTAGCTAAGTACCGGTAGTATTTATTATTTTTTCAATGGCTTATGTCTTATTCAACCATTGGCCACAATCAATGGCTACATTTAATGATTGAATTGTGGGGGATCCAGTATTTATAGAAGGGGCGTGGGGGGCTTCACCAAAAATGGAGGTGAAACCTGACCACACAAACCAGGCATATATTTGCTTACATGTATGTGGACGAAAGTTTCTGTCTTTGAAATTGACAGCAGAAGAAACAGGGAAAAAATACAAGGTGTACCTAAAAAAAAATTTAAATGGGGAAAAATAAGGGGCTGTGCGTCGGCTGCTGCCCCATTGGATCTACAACTAGAATGAGTTTATGTACCATTTCAGACTATCTAGCGCCTTGAATTGTTGGTAGATACGTGCGCTATATAAAACTTCGGTATTATTATTATTATCATCTTGCTTTTGTCTTAGATTTTACTATGAAGGCATGTGGCGTCAGAAGCTTCAGACTATGGTTGATTTCCCTCTACATAACATGGACATGTCACCTTATACAAGAGGACCCAAACCACCCAAGCCATACTACTTATATGCAGTCTCTAACCACATTGGAACTATGGATGGAGGACATTGTGAGTGCCTTTTATGTAGTTTACTTTTGATTGGTGTTTAGTTTCTCAGTACTCTTTGCTATTGTTCTGTTTTTAGCACCCTTGATATTCTTCTGTGTATTTGTATATCTGTGATATTTTGGCAAAGTTGTAGAAAAGTCTTTGTTTTAGTCTTGTCTTTCTTCTTGGGTCTGTATCTCAAATCCCATAGACTACTTAAGGGGGCACTAGCTCCTGAAATCCCCGAAAAATTTCATGTTTTGGATTGTTTACTTATCCTATTTCAAACATCTGGTTGAAAGGAAACTAACCTAATGTCTTACCATTCCCGAGAAAAGACGAAAAACAACCCCGGTATTTACATCGGACATGACGGAGCACGAATACGTTTTTCCTGTCGTTCCCTGTTTCAGTGTTCGTACGATATACACGTTTGACTCGGGAACAGCGGTGACCAATCACCAATGCACAAAATATATTTTCTTCGACGTCCGCAAAAGGCGAACACTTTACGAATGATATCACAACAGCTCAACTTTTGGGGTCACAAAAGTGGACCCCGAAATTTGTTTTTGTTGTGTGGATGTTTATATCCTACTTTTAAATGTTCTTTCCGCATTTTGTGGCCCAATTGGGCTGTTCCAGGACCCAGTGACCCTTTAACGTGAGTTACCATGGAATTGCCCATATGTAATAATTCTCGTGGTGTAGGACCACCCCCCCATCCACAGTAGTATGGGCTGATTCTACTAGTGAGGACTACCGATGCTACAAACAAGAACTTCCCCTTAAAGCACCCCCTCCCCCTTGCATACATATTGGATCCAGTGTCTGTATGCTCGAAAAAAGAGGACATGTAAGGACAGCATGACCACAAAATACTGTGGGAAAATAATCTGACTGAATGGCTAGTGCCGTCTAAGGCAATATATGGCATATGTAGAAGTTCTTTACCAATAATTACTGGCTAGTAGAATCAGGCCATAAGTTCTCAGTGGACCAGTGTTGTAGGTCTCGAGACCGGTCTCGGTCTCGAGACCGGTCTCGAGACCACTTTTTGCTGGTCTCGGTCTCGGTCTCGGTCTCGGAAGCTGTGGTCTCGGTCTTGGTCTCGGTCTCGGTCCCCTTTGGTCTCGATATTTTGGCTGGTCTCGGATCGAGACCGGCAATATGTAGCTTTTACAGCTCGATCGATTACTTTGTGTTCACTTCGTTCAGTACCGTTGTTAGTTAAAACATTTGCTAGCCCGTAGATCAAGCTTGTTATATATCGTGGTCGGTTTGCCGGACTCGACTGCACGTTGGAAAGTCCCCAAAGTACATGTAAAGCTGCAGCAGTACCAGTCACTGAACGATTTGGAGCAAGTTCGGCATTTATCTGTTGAGTCGGGCACATAAAGCATGCAAAGTATGAACTTGTAACAATTTATGCAATAAGGGTCAACCATTTTCGGGGATTGTGTAGTTTAGCCCACCCCTGTGGGCGTAATCACTTGCATTTTGTATTCTAATAATAAATGAGGTGCTTCAAATTAGTTATATTTTCGACCCCACACAATGTTCTCTTTAATTTGGGACAGTATTTTGAAGAAAAAGTAAATTTTTCTACCTGATTTTCCAGCATTGATCTCACACACTCTTACCAGTTACCACTCACTGTTGCCATGAGAGTGTATGATGAGACCCCATTTTCTGGCTGCTCATTTTGAAGTACCCCATTATTCCTCAAAAATTAAAATCCCGTTCAGAAAAAAAATTAAAAATCCATATCTGGCACATTCTGGCTACCACCTCGCAACTTGTGGGTCTACATGTACAAGTCCACATTCTAGGACAGAAATTTAAAAATTAATTCAACATTTTCTAGCTCCCATTTTTTAAAATCAAGTACACAAGTCTTGTTAGAAGTTAAGTCCTATATTTATTTTAGGAAAAAAGAGGCACAATGTAAAATTAAAATTGCATCTTTAAATATCCGTTAGAAGTCATAGCTGAAACCAAGGGTGACTGTGGAGTTTAGGATCCGAGTTCCTATAACAGATGAAACATCTACCTTTAACTTTTTACTTTTGTCACGATTGGGTGCAGACAACATGTCAAAGCCCATATTTCTTAAGTGTAACTACTTTTTGCTCAAGTAAGGTGTCATGTATCAATTTGTCAACACTGCCACTGGTCAACATTTTGGTCTGTATTCTTTGTGAATAGAAGGGTTACATTTTTCAACTATAATAACGTGTCTTGTTTTTTTTATTTCGACTATTGTTATTTATTATCAGCGGTCTCGGTCTCGGTCTCGGTCTCGGTCTCGGACCATATTGGTCTCGGTCTCGGTCCGCCTTGAAGGGGCTGGTCTCGGTCTCGGTCTCGGTCTCGAATCTTCAGGTCTCGGTCTTGGTCTCGGTCTCGGACTATCCGGTCTCGACTACAACACTGCAGTGGACCAGAGACTCTGAACCCCCCTCCCCCCCGACATCAAGCTGGATACTCCACTGAGTACAGTTATGTCGAGATATTTTTTATCATCTTTGTGATAGTAGATGTCATAAGTTGACCTGTAAAAGAACTGACATCTGCTGTCATTCTTGATCTAAGATTTCTTTTTCTGCATGTAGATTTCATATCTGTCAATTAACAAAAAGGAAACGATTAAAGTATGCTTTACAGGTTTTACAAATCTCACACTGTGTAGTGCATTTGAAGAGGCAGATTTGTACTTTCCTTTCCCCCTGGTAAGGGTTTCGCTTTTACATGTAACCAGTGTTGTAGCCAGGCATTAAATAGCGCTAAAAAATACTTGCTTCCGTTTGTTCGTATACAAGTGCGGCAACTTCGAACATTGTGCACTGGCCGTATGACACAACAAAACATAAACAAGATCCAACCGCACGTACCCCGTGATGTCGCGCCATTCATATGAACATAAATACCGGTACGTACGTACGCATTCACTATGATGAAAGCAATAAGCATGTGCTGTTTTGTGTTGCTTAGTTCCAGCGCTACGCACGGATGTACGTGTCACCAAAAGGTCACGTACAGAGTGCTCTGTAGACCACACCATTTCGCGGTATCAGGTGTGCTTTCTAAAAGTCAGTTCACCAGCATTTACGCTGTTTCAAAATTACAACTTTTAATGGAGTCCAAAACATATCCCTGTTCGAATATAAGTTCTTATATGTCGAAACTTAATTTTCGTAAAGGATTTATTCGAGAAACGATGTAAAACTCCAAAGAAAGGTTAATGCACCCCTACGATGTCAATGGATCCGTCCATAAAGATGGCCGCACGTGAGGAATTTTTTTCGAAGAATGTCGCTTTCGAAAATTAGGATTTTTGACAGTTTGATTGTTAAAAGGGATCTGTTTGTTCTTAGGAAAATACCAATCAGCAAGTTTTGCAACATAGCAAATTTTTTTTAGCGCTCCAGGAATGCGTTGCTTTCTCAAATACTGAGGGAAAGTTTGGTCGTGTAGTTCGCTCGTGTAGCCCGGCGCGTGCAGGCCTGCACCGGGCCGGGCCGCGGCCGGGATAGGAAGCAATTCCCGGTGATTATTTCACATCGTCATTATCTACAATTATATTTTTTAACATAATAAAATTAGATTTCTCTCTTAAATTGTGTTGTAGCATGTGGAAATTGCAGTCGCCGAATGTTTTCTGTCTTGAGACCGCCATGATTTTACAATTTCTTTTCCTGCCGATCTGCCGATGGTTTTATTTACAAATTTAAAATCTGAGCTAAGTGCTACGCCAATGTGACAAGGCTTCTTGAAATTGAAACTGGACTGAATTAAAACCAATAATAATTCTGGGAAAATGTGATGGCCAAATAACTGCACATTACATGCAAAAAGGGAGGGATAAACTCAGAGGACCACGTGATTCAATTTTCGGACGTCGGACTGACAGGACTCATGAGACTAAAAGTAAAACGAGTGTTAGCTGGACGTGGAGGTACAAGTTACATGCAGGCCTAATTACTTCCTGTTTTAGTTTTAGATTGATTAACTCTGACTTCAAACTTGAATTCAATGAATAGTTACATGAATATGAAATGTTCATGCTATTTGTTCGCGCACTTAATATTGATAAACTAAATCTCAACTTTTTATAAAACATTGAGGAACTACTAAAAATGGTTAAACAATAGAAAGCATCGATCTTGTAACAATTTATACATTATAAACATGCTCTAAAATTTGAAAACAGACGAAAGTTTACAAGAACAAGAGTATGTATTTGAAACAAATAAAACAAAATTTCTTATAATTCTAAACACTTCTGCAAAAAAAAAATCAGGGGAAAGATGCCAGGACTCGCCTCCGATTGCACCACAGAGCACCTAGAATCCAAAATTTTCCCGAGCTCTTAAGCCATAAAAAGGCTCGCATTAGCCACGCTCGCATTAGTTCTCGAACCCAATAACCCCTATGCTATAATTTCACTCTGGCTAGGACACTGCCATGTAACACATCGCTGAAATTATGTGATATGAAGAGTACTTGTTACAGATGTATAGATAAATTTAAAATTCAGTTAGAATAATAATTCTGTTTGTTTAATTATTCACTAGATACAGCTTGTTGTCTGAATGTCAACAACAACCGTTGGTACAAGTTTGATGATCATGAAGTGCATGATGCATCGCAAAGTAACATAAAGGTACGTAAACACCCCCCCCCCCCCCCCCCCCCACCACACGCACAAGAGTATATTTGCCTGCAATCGGTGATCGCTTTTGTTTGTACACTAACTATTTAGGAAGACATCCCTTATGTTTTGTACACGAATCCAAATTTGGGACCTCTCGGGAATTGGGGACCCTATTGTCCGCTATTGTTCAACGTCTCCTATTGAATGCAGAAGCACAAGGAGTTGTACATATTGGGGTAATGGGGCACCCACTATTGTCCACCTTTACTTCCTTACTACTGTTCTCCTTTGTTTCTATCAAAATCCCTAACGCTATGGCTTTTCTGCTGTGGCATGTGTGGGGTACCAAGATTTCTAAAGACCAACTTGCAGGGTACCATTGACCCTGTTGTCGCTCTTTGTTCTCAGTACCACGTGTGTACTCATATGTAAGTACACACAGTCTTGAAGTTTCACATGCCTGAGGACAATGCTACGGTGTTTCCCATCTGTCCCTGTAATATAACACTCTCCCATAGTCCAGTCACATGCATGTAACCGTACAATCGAGGACCGTTTTCAACAAAAGACCCATTGTTCGAGGACTGAAAGGATCTCTTCTTCTCCCTTTGTGCATCTGTCCTCTATTGTAAAGCCATACAAGTACACACAAACACACCCAGGTTTGTTGGTGTAAATCGTGGATTTTCTATTCCTCATCATCGATCTTTTGTTTATACTCATAACTTTTTTGCAACAGCTCCCATTGGTTTTGTACACATTTTCTAATCGAGGTCGTCCTCGATTGACTCCTGTACTCAATTACCCGATGATGCTTCACATGTTTGTCCTCAATTTACATCATAAACACGCACACATTGTCTTTCCCTATGTCCCTATAATATAACACTCTTCTATAGACTTCAGCACACAAACTCACGATCGAGGACCGTTTTCAAAGAAAGATGAACTCTCGAGGATAACAAAGAATCTGTAATTCTCCCTTTGTCTGTCTGTCCTTGGGGTGTATGTAATTCATGTACACAGAGACACGGACAAAATGTGGATATTTAAAGTGTGTTGTGTTTATCTGTTGAATCTTATTAACTTTTCAGTCCGCACAGTTGTATTTATCATTAGGTTTGACAACAAGGCATTGTCTTTCCCTTGTCCCTATAATATAATGCTATCCCATAGACCAAGCACACACTAACTTTTGAGGACCGTTTTCAACAAAAGATGAACTTACGTTGACAACTCCAACGATCAGGGGAAAATAATCAGGGGAAAATAATCAGGGGTACAGTATTAAGACTTTTTATAATATCATAATAAGATAATAGTATAACCGAAAAAAATTACCATTAGGGATACACTCCAGTAGACCTGTGCGCAATAATTTTTCTGACTTTCCTAACCCCTAACCCCAATGTTACTATATTACCCCCACGAATTGGATCATAAGCAATCGATCTAGCCTATTTGCTACACTAAAATTGTGCCTCTAAATAGGAGCTGAGGCATTAGTGAGACATTGAAATGTCTCCCTAATTCCACATGTCCCCCAAAGGTATAACTTCTGATGCTTAAGTGTCTCCCAAATGCAAATGGTATAATTTATGAAAATAATAACGATAATAACACTAATAATAATATTGAAGTACCGAAAATGGCACCTTTTACCATAGACAGGTGCACAAACAAAAAGCTATCATTAACCCCATTTAAACTCCCGCACCCCCCCCCCTCACCCAAACAGATTTTTAGTATAATTTTTGAAGCTCAGAAATCATTTTAAGCATTTTGAAACAAAAAGTTGCTCTACAAATGGAAGTTAACAGATTTAGGAAGACACCAACATGTCTCACTCAGTGGTGGATAAGGAGGGGTTACTGGGGGGGGGGGGGGGGGGGGGCTCTCACTGAAAATTCACTGAATTCACTGAAAATGTCAGATGTCCGTTGATAACACAGGTAAAGTAGCAACATGTATTGCAAGTAATTCATCACAATGTAAAAGTCAGCAAATAACATACCATTGCTTAAAAAGTTGAGTCTTTAAAAGTTTCTTGAATGTTGACCGCAAGTCTGCAGCACGTATGGAGTTTTGAAGGTGGTTCCAGAGCTTCCAGGCCGTACATGCATGAATGCTTGTTCACCATAAAATACAGTAAAAACATGAGCTGGACCAGATTACGGATGTCAAACATAAAGGATGTGGAGGACTGTACTCATGAAGTGGTTCAGCAATCTAGTCTGGTCCTCTCCTATGTAGGATCTTTTGAGCAGCAGGATCTCATGTATGGAGCATTGATTAATTGGCAGTCAATCAAGGGATTCCTCACTGCACAGTTCTGCACTCGCTGGAGCTTGTAAATCTCTGACTAGGGGAGTCTGTACAAGACAGAGTTGCAACAATCCAGCCTAGATGTAACAGAGACATGGATAAATGCAGTTCAGCTGTCATCATCAAGATGGCCAATACATGCAGTGCTGAGAAAGATGAACACAGATCCTGTTGACATGGTCAGTCATAAGTAGGTTATGATCAACTATAACTGGCAGAGTCCTTGCTGACCCTTTTGGATGGATTGTTTGCTGGCCTTTTTGTTGGTATGATTACAAACGACAAGTCTTGTGCAGTCACTCTGTTTTACACTGTTGAGATATGAGGCACAGCTTGTTAGCAGTAGATCATACATAGTTTATGTATCCATGCATCTTATGAAGTGCCTCATCTCTCTTGGCTGAATCGAGGTCAATTACAGTTACATACAGTTATGTATCATCTGCATAAACTGCTGCATGGATGTCGTAGGATGCAATCCTGTCCTAATATTTTTGTTCTTATTTAACGCATTGCATCATCCGATAAATCTCAATGCCCTTTGAGGGCACTACGTGTATGGAAGCTATTCGGCAAGTTTACTCCCGCAAAATGTAATGTTTCAATTAAAGTTAAATGTAAACTTAAGTCAGGAACCTTGCATTCACCCTCATTCACTCAAAATTGTTGCCTATTGACACAGCTTGGGTCACCTCCTTTAGGTAGGAGGAGAACCACTTGACTGAAAGTTTGTTCAGAGATTCTTTGAAGACAGCAGATGGAAGGGGATGATTCTGTCAAGTCCTGATGGGAGATGATATGATCAAACCACTCACCTCTTTACATACCTCCTGAAATGATGAGAAGGCGCTGGAGATGGTGTCCTTGCTAGACATATCTGAACATCAGCTGAACATCGATCCAGCACATTTCCCACCTTCTGCTGAAAACGGTCCATTTGTCTTGTGTCCAAATTGTGTGGATTGTTGGGAGCTGGTAGCACCAGGCCCTGGTAATGGATTTGTTAGCTGAATCATGGCATGAAAGAGGCCAGAATGATTTGGCATCTGTGAGCAAAGCATTGTAAGGATTACACTCTTGCTGGTATTACTTTTTATAAAGTGTGTGACCAGAGCTCACAAAAAGACAATTTTGTTAGTGAAGTTTCTCGCTCTCTGCAGCCTGCATTGAATTTGCATATCAGGGAGCATGTGGGTGTAAAATGATGTTCCGGCAAACCAAAGAATGATTATAAGTGTCAGTGATGTCAGGTTGCTGTAGTAAGGGGTTAAGAATTAATATCCTGCCTGAGACTATCCACGTTGATGGCAGTGGGGTATCCGAGCCCCCCCCCCCCCCCCCCTTGTGGCATTAAAAAAACAAATGAATTAGCAATGTTTCGACGATTTTAAAACGTTGATGCTGTAAAGTCTTAATTTTGCCCCTTTAATTTTAACTAGTACATGTACAATTTGAATACTACGATCCAAGGCAGCAGTTCTCAGGCTAGTGTAGAACTCTGGGTAACTATAAAAGATACATGTATCTCAAAGTATGAGGAGGTAGCTGGAACCAAGTAATAAATCACGGTTCTCTTTTAGCATTCTTAGGTTTTAACATTTATACTTAACAGTAACTGAATATCCATTCTACTTTCTGTTGTTTACAGAGTGCAGCAGCCTACATCCTTTTCTATTCTTCAATGGACCAGCTTATTCCATAGAACTTCATTGCAGTTTATGTGATGTTGCTAGTAACACTTCATCAACTTCAAGATTTAACCCTGTAAGTTAATACAAGTAACTGTATGCAATGCAGAACAGGTAAACTTCTATTAAAATGGGTATTATTGGATCGTTATTATCAATTTTTTTTTTATTCTTAATAAACATTTTTTTTAAAAGAAAAGAGTGATGAAACCTGATGAAACCTGACTGTGATTCAAATGGAGACCAGGAATAAAATGATCCATAGTTTTCAAATATTTACACAGCTCAATTAATGTAACCCTGTACTGGAAGATTTAAACACCCCACTTACCTAATTGTTGAAAACAGTCAGTCTTGCTCATGGAAAACAGTCTGATGTCATAAACATACTAAATTAACAACACCAGATGTTGCAATACTTTGTAATGTATAACACTAACGAACGTCAGAATCATATGCGAGAATAGTCTGAAGCCCAAGCTCATGCATGGAATAATACTGCCTCATGCATATTCAACCAGTTTGCCATTGCATTCAGAGCAGGCACTCTTCATAAAGTTTAGTTGTCCTCACATTTATCTTTCCCACTATAGGGAATACACGTGACAACAAATGAAGATCAAATTGTACTGCTAAAATATGTCAAAATGTATGTCATCAATACTTTCTAATTATGGTAATCATATTTCAGTATGTAGTGTAAATATAATTACAGAACATTCATTTATCCAAACATTTGATGTTGTGGTGTTATAAATTTGCATATATGTAAAAGCATTATGGGATAAAGGGCTGGTTTGTACATGACTAAAGAGTGAATGTTTTACAACTCTTGCACATCTCTTGCAAACTTCTTGCACATTAAATCATAAAAAAGGTATTGATGGAGATTGCATTATTATTCTTGTTACAAGCATTTAAAAACAGTAGCTTACTTTCATTTACATACTTTTTATAATATAGGTTTTCCCGGCCAATTTCCTAAAATGTTCATTAACTTCGGAAAATTGGTCATTCATTTTCGTCTGAATATGAATGCATGTCTCATTTCAATTCAACGAAAGTTCAATCGTTTTCATTGTCCCTGCATTCAGTTTTGAGAAACAGATGGCCAATTACATTACCTGTGCATTCATTTACGCAAGCATGCCTTTTCGTGCAGAGTTCGGGCATACAATTTTGTGAATGTGCAATCAAAAGTACGTTTTTCTCATTCAAAATAGTAGATTGCATCACATAACATTAAACTGAAAGTGAAATAGAATGGGCAATGTTTGAAATCGCCCTCTAAAAGCGAAAAGGAAGTCTTGTAAACGAACTGAATGAGCATAAACAAAAGGTGCTGCTCAATCACTTAATTGCTTGAACTGAAATGGAATAGAATGCTCTGGCAGTGAAAATGAAACACGTGTTCACAGCGATTCTCAAATATAGACGAAAATGAATGACTGATTTTCAGAAGTGAATGAACATTTTAGGAAATTGGCCGGGAAAACCTATACATGTACATGTAAAATTAGAATTACGGATGAATGAACAAAAGTTCAAGTACATTTTCAAAGTTTGGAGAGTTTGAATTTTCCATCCTAGCAGAATCCAAACATTGGACCTTTCGTTTACAGTCATTCCAGTTTATGAGCAGTAGGCAGAAGCTTATAATTTCTTGACAATAAGTATTTTCTTCTGATGTATGCTTATTGAATTAAATGGAGAAAATGGCTGTTCCAAAATGTGTGGTCCATAATAGTTATCAAAAAGATATTTTTTTTTCCAGAGATTTTGCATTTGTACCAGATGCAAACGCAGGGTGATCAGGCGTGCAACTATTTCATTGGACACTGTCTGATTCTGTTGTGAATGTTTTTTATGTAAAAACTGAAAAAGAATTATGAAGTATATTTTCCAGTTTAACCATTTCTGCATTTGAAAAGGTTTGATTTTGGGTATGATTTCATTTGACATGTTACTTCTGGTTTGATGTCATCAGCTAAAATGTGAAAAACCAATGTTGACGAGATACACATGGAAGATAAAGTGAAAAGAACTGGAAGATTAAGTGTTAAGCAACTTTGCCTACAGAAATAAATAAAATTATGAACTTGATTGTTTATTTTGTTCATGCGCTTTCAATAAATGAAAATGGTCACTTTTTGAAGTAAAATCACTTGTAATATGATACATGTAATGATAATGTCATCAAGATGTCACAGTTATACTGTAATTTGTTTTTAGTGTTTTTACTCAACCTGTAATTGGCGGTTATATTTGATGTTGGCTGATGGAAATCTAAATAAATATAAATATGTGCACACTTTCAGATCGGGGTTGATGTTTGTTCTAAGTTTGAAATTTATAACATGTAAATGAAAAGCGCGGAAAATTATATTCCAGAAAAAAAAAAACGCTTCACAATTTTAAAATGGTGATGGCTTCTCTGAAGTCAGAAGTGAAAGAAAAGGAAAAAAACACAACAGAGCTGCCAAGCTACATTTTCAATCTAAATTTGTTTTGCTAGGAACCTTCCTGAACCTTTGAAAATACTCCACTGCAGTAAACTAATGTAACATTCTTTGTACACAATGTACATGTACTTAAACATTCAAGAGGATGGATTAAGTCACTCTCACATAATTCACAGTGGCTGAGCTTTACCTCCCTCTATTCTGCAAAAATCCCACAGAATTCCCTGATGAATTTTCATTGGTATGGGAAAGTAAGGGTGAAATTATAAGTCAAAGAGTATAAACTGGTGGGTGTGAAAGATAAGCTTTGATTTGTACCTCCAGCCAGTGCAGATGGTGTCAGCCTGCACATACTGCACAACCACAGTTTCAGCATGTAACCTAGATATGTACAGGACAGAGAGCTGTTTTTTTCCCCCCATGGGTGTTAATTCTTGATGTGAACTTCGCCAAGGTCTGAAATAAATGTAGTGCAATCATTGGCAAGATTTACAAATTGAAAATGTATCCACTCGTAAACCATATGTACATCTTTTTGCAGGCCCTCTTTTTGATTGTTTTACTTCCCTTAAAACAACATAAATCAAGGCTTTTAAACTTTTGTTAAGAAGTATGCTACATTAAGGAATTTCTTAATTTGTTTTAAAAATACTACATAAAAAGGTAACCATGTCTATTTTTAATACAAATATTTAAAACTTTGACTTTTGTTGAAGGCTTTGCTTCAATGACTCAGAAAATATATAAACAAGAATCTTAAAATATCTTAAAACTGTAATAATTGATGTAATTTGGTTTAAATGCAGTTTCAAATTTAAGTGCATTTTAAAGGAGGTTCATGCTGTACATCATTATGATGACAGGAAATTAGAATGCTGAGAGAGAGCACACAAATCCTTTACATGCTCATAATGAGTCCATTTTCAGTCGTTCCAATTGAAGCCTGTATTGCTCTGTTATCCATGTATTTGGCTGATTCAGATGGTGTACATGTACATGTAGGTAATGCTCTAACTTGCTGACCACTTAAAACATCACCCAAGGCTCAGCAGCTCTAAATCAATAATTGAACCAGTCAACACTGGCTCCACTGGCTGAAAACAGATAGCTGCTATGCAATTCAGGCCAACTCAGCCGATGGGCATCAATACATGTATATTAATATACATCATAGAATTTAATTAACATACTAATATAAGATGCTCTGTTACCATTGATTTGTTGTAAAATATGTTAAGGTATACAGTAGATATAATACAATGAATACATATCCTGGTACATCATTTATGCCGAAATAATACAGTTAGGGCACATTATTTGGTCCGCCAATAAGCTGTAAATTAATATTTCGCTGATAAATAAATTATGTGTGTATTCATATGTACATTATAGGTTCCATTGTGAGAATTATGAGTGTTGTCAGTTTTACCATTTTGTTAAAAGAATAAGCACTTGATTGATTTTCTAAATTTTAGTATATGTAAGATGAAATACCATTTGTTTGTAAAATATGAAAATCAAAAGTAATGACAAAGCTGTTGATTTCCTTAAGGGAAAATAGTGATTAAAGTTATTGCAATTATTCAATCGCAGATTGTGTATATTGTGGTATTTGTTCAGTCAGTATGATAGATGTCATGATGGCAGGTATACAAAGATGATTCACCTGTATTTTTTTCCAGTTTTAAGACATTTATATAAACCTTGGTTTGACTTGGTGTGAGAATGAATGTCTTATCAAATTTTGTTGATTATGATAAACTTTCAAGAACACTTTCAGACACTTAAACAAAAAAAGCCTTGTTTGTTCAGATTTTTTTGTTTGTCATCTTCTCGTCTTCTCTTCAAGAAATTAAAAAAAAAAAACACCTACCCCAAAAAAGCTACCATATTGTACACTTTTTTTTTTTCCTAGGTGGCACTATTGTCACTTTTACAGCTCATATCATGATGAAATGTAACCTGAACAAAGACCCTATTCTGAATTTGGTCAAAGTATAAATAAGAATGGTGAAGTTTGTCATACGATGATGTCATCAAATCTAATGTATCATTTTAAAGATGTACTGCATGTGCTCTTCAACAAATTTCGTACTTGTACATTAGAAGTTGTAAGAAGAAAACATCGCATTAAAGTGAATCTATAAGTAACACTAACTCTCCAGGCGTTTTTGCTAGGATGCTGTAAAATCCTCAGTTATTTCTTGAATGTGGTCCTTGGAGGGGTGGCCACTGCCTCAATCCTGCGAAATCCTCCAGCAATCACTGTCGATATGTTGAGGCAGAGCCAGTAACATGCTGGAGCAGTGTGGAGGATTTAAAGTATAATCCAGGCCTAAATTTATGCACAGCTGAGCATAAACAACACAAGGTCTGGCCTTGACACACTGCATCCTCCAAAATCAGCCACACATCTTTGCCATATGTTCAATCCTGCAGAATCCTCCATTTTGCAAAGAGGATTTTGGAGGACTTGGGAAGTTTAGGGTTAATCAGATCGACTTGAAACTGCACACAATAGGATTTTGAAATTTAATTGTTTTCCTTAGGATGTCATGATGAGTACAGACTGAGTTTTCTGTGATCACTGCATACTTGAATTTGATATTTTTATGTAGAAAACAAATACCTTTTGTGATAGCTTTGATTATACAACGGATGTCAACAGAATCCTTAATAACTGTGACATCATCACATGCATGACATAATTGAACCTGCCATTTGGTCCAATTATGATTAGAATAGGTAAGTTTCACATAGAAATGGATATCAACATCATAATCTAACATTTAAAGGCCAAGAAAAGCCGAGTGTGCTGTCATCGACAGACTTTTAGTTAATTTTTAAATTCACCCTGGACAGTTCAACAAATAACATATTAATATGCTTCTTGAAAACCTTTGCGAAAAACAAAACCCTTTTATATGGATATTGGTTCAAATTTAGTCACTTTTTGTTCATTTATATATACATACAATGTATGTTTATTGGTTGATGCCTGGATAAAGTTGTCATTTACTTGTCTATGTGGTTACACCCTGTCCACTGGTAGTTATATTTGTCCGTTTTTTGTCATTTTATAATGCCTATTATGCTTGTTTAATGTTTGCACAATTAATTGTCACTTGAAAGTTTGATCTTTTGTTAAACATGTATATTAACAAATTGTGGCTTTTATATTCTCTTTATTCATCTTTAGTTGTTTACAGGAGTGTCAATTTTATGTCATGTACTTGTACAATTTCAGCATTAATGCTACCTGATGCATTTTTTTTGATAAACCAAAATGAATACATAAGTAAAACACCTAAATTCACTACAACTTAGTACAATATTAGGATGTAAGAGATAAAATACTTTTTTGATGTAAAATAAATGTTTATTTGCATGGTCATTTTTTGTTGAACTAACATTTTTTTACGTATATGATTTTTTTACTTATATAGAAATTTAATTATTCTTCATTAGTTTATTGAGAATTTAAAAACAACAATTCTCAAAAACAACAAGTAAAATTGAACGCTGTCTGTGGATAAGGTCTGTCACTATGTTGGATAATGCATCATTGCAGTACATTTTTCAGCACAGCATGGACATACCCAAATTTGAATGCTGTACACTTTTTTGTAAACAAATTTCATGTCATGCTTACATGAATATATTGTAATTAGCACATGAAGTGAATAAATAAAATACATGTAAATAAGTATGGTCTAAGAAAGAAAGGCAATGAAGTTTTTGTACCTGCAATCAAACAAAACAGCCAAAGAAATAAAAAAAACACCCTGAAAAAAGGCAATAATTACAAAATGCAAGAAGTAAAGCTTTGGGATATACCACCCTAAACCTCATCTCAACTCGTTTTGCTTGAGTATACATTTACATTTGTAGGACAAAATAATACAAAAGCTGGGAAAAAAATCTCGTATTCTTGGCTACTAAAATACAATGGCGTATGCTTGTGTCTGCATATTGACCAGTATGTAAATTGTCATGATTGGCTCGCTTTGTTGTCTTAGCTGTGCGCGCGCGTGCCATAGTAATGCTTGCTTGTTGACTGGTGTAGTACAGTACTGTGGTCAGCACTGTACTGCGCACGAGCGCTGGGATGTTGCTCATTGAACCATGTGTGTTTGACATCACGTACTGCTAGCGCATGCACAGCGCGGCAAGCTTATTACCAGACCGTTGCCTGCCTCCGCTGTCACTGCTGCTCCTTCGTTCTCCACTCGCATCTCATAACATTAACCCATTAAGTACACAGTCAAGCCCGGCCTTCACTTTGCTGGCAAACGGTACAATGACGATCATGGCAGCGACGCAAGTAAGCAGCGGTCAGGAAACAGTTCCTCATCAAATGCCCGCTCAGCAGCAACCTCCGTTGAAATCTTGTATGACGAGTCCACCGCAAACCATCCCTATGAAAGATCATGATGCTATCAAGCTTTTCGTCGGTCAGATTCCAAGGAATCTGGAAGAGAAAGAAATTCGGCCCATCTTTGAAGAACACGGCCGCATCTACGAGCTGACGATTTTAAAAGACCGTTATACCGGCATGCACAAAGGTTGGTTAGCTCAGCTGTTTCTGTTCTGGCTGCACATTTGTTTTACGACTGTTCGCAGGCATAGGCCTACTCCTTGAAGTGGCAATTTTGTTTAACTTTAAGGAGTTTCCCGTGCATGTCATATCATGGAGGAATTACACAACGGGTTATAACCTTTTTTTGCAGTATACTTTTTTTTTGCAGTAACAATGTTGAATATTTTGTTAGATTCAGTGTGGGTTTGTTGTTGACTAAATTCTATGTGAAAACTCTATAGGTTGTGCCTTCTTGACATACTGTGATCGTGAGAGTGCTATTCGAGCACAGACGGCTCTCCATGGACAGAAAACACTACCAGGGGTACGTATGTGTATTTATTTGCCACATGGCGGGCTTGAATAAACCAGTTCCCATAAACCACTGCATCTATTGCCGAAAGGCTAAAGCCTTTACGAGTTTCATTCATAATCGCAGTTCTTTGTCCTTGTTCTGTCAAAGCAAACCGGTCGCGTGCCGTTGACTGGCCATCCAGGCGTTGTTTGTGTATGATGTCTGTTGTGTTGGCTCTTTTTGGAACCGAGCGTGGACTGTCATTCCATGGTTGTTGTATTGGCGGGGTTCCAAATAAATGCACACAGTGCAGTATAAACTGTAAATTTGTGTAACTAAAGTGTGGATAGCTCCATGAAATGACTAAAAAGTGATGAGTGTCACATGGACAGTTTTTTTTTTCAGGACTGCATTTTTAAAGGATATGTTGTGTGGTAATTTTAGAGTGATTAGAGTGGTATCAATCATTACATTGGGATGCACTGTTAACAATTTGACTTTTTTCTTTTCAATTTTTATTAAAACTCAAAAGAGTTATTTGTTATGTAAAAGTTGTACATGTATGTCGGTGGCAGGCTCATCTTTGTTCTGGCTTTGCTAAGGCAGAGGGGGAAAAAAATCAGTTTCTCGTCCATGCTTTTTTAAAAACTGAGGGAGACGGGCACTTTTTCCTTTTATTTCTTTTCTCCCAAGATGGCAATTATTTGCTGAGATGGTGGATGTATCCTTCCATTTTCTCGATTCTTGCTGATACAAAGTAGTGTCTGAAGAACATGAATAAAAAGACCATATATTGACAGTTTAGTTGCAAAATATATTGCAAATGTATAATTAAAAAAAGGAGGCTGGCAGCAAAGGACAAGAAACTGGTTTATTCTTTTACTGTTTGGCTTGTTGCATTTGTGCCCTCGAGCCGTCAGAAGTGGTCAAAAAGGAAAATTTCTCCAGAACAATTTGTACTTAAGAAAATGGTTTTAAGTAAAATTAGCCCCCGACTCTCAATAGGTGTGTGATAAATCATATTAAATTAGATGATTTAGTGACTGTTAGGGTTGTGTGGGCCAAGAATGTTAATGCAATTTTAAATGAGTTCAAACTTTTTTTTAGAATTTCAAGATGAAACATTTCTAACGTGATATTTTAAATGCACACTTCGTGGATACACTGACTGGTTTCCAATTCCTAGTGCGTTAAATGCAAAGACATACCTTTGTTGCAAAGTCACCTGAATTAAGATTCTAAGTAAACTGATGACATTTGATAAGGTCATCCCTCAAGATGTTTTGAACAGTATACTTTTCAAAGAATTCTTTAATTATTCCAATAAATTTCAATTTATAAAATATTTTACAACTTTACATGTCCATACTATCAATTTTTTTTTTTTAAATGTCTTTATATCAGAGTACATGTACCGGTAGTATCATAAGTTCAGGTTTCAGGCTATATGTGTTGCATTGTACAATGCAAAGTAATCATTATGGAATTTTTAAAAAATGCATACAGAGCAAATGCTGTCGATGTTTTCAGATGTTTCTTTGTTGTTAGCCATTGCACAATAGCCTTTTCACATATTGTTGGCATCGCATATTATTATATACTCAAGAAATGGAAAGTTGTGTACAAAATGCCTGTAGGTAAAATTGGTGAACACAAATGACGTGTCCATTGTGCTTGAAACACCCGTTGATGAAAAAAATGTTTTAATAGAATTTGGACAGATTGCACAGAATGTTGATGGCAACATTGTGTACCACGATATTTGACTGGACTGATTTTTATTGCTTTAACTCATCCATATACCCCCCCCCCCCCAGCAATGATACTTTTTTTTTCTATTTAGACTGCACATAATACATGAAACAATACACATGTGATCCACTTCAGTAAGAACTCATTAAGACTACCAATCAATATGGCATCTGCCTCGGGAGTCTTGTTTGTATCCTTCCTTTTGTCAGTGTATTCCTTACGTATTGACAAGATGTGTATATGAAGCAGATGGCTACATGTAGTCCTGCTTTGTTTGTCTGCTTGTGAACCCCAATTACTCATTGTCCATAGCTTGGCTATTCCTGTTCAGATGAAATTTTAATGAGCACACCTGTAGTATTAATGACAGGATATGGTTGCATGTTATGGACGTATTCCATGACTTTAGTAAATGCTTAAGGTGGTAGGTTAATTTCTTTCCATTTTTGCTCGTACATGTCACTTCAAATAATGGTTTGGAAAGGGATGTCCGAATCATTTTTTTGACAAAGAAAAAATACATCTGCTATTAAACTATTATTGCAGTATGTGCATAGTCTTTTGGTTAACAAATAAATAGCAAGAATACTTTTCTTTGATAATGTGTGTTTTTGAGTACATGATACATGTATGTATACTATAATATTTATGAGTGATAGATTATTGGTGTGAATCCATGATACTAGGGTGTTATAGGTAGCCCCCCTTATACATTGTCAGCATATGTACCAGCTGTTCTCAGCTGTTCTTGAAGCTGCTAAGTGATAGGGTCTGCACAAAGAGGTGGCACGTGCCAATGTTGACACTGGCACAAGAGGTTGCCCTTTGTTCCCCCTGGCTTTCTTCTGGTCATGGCCCTATGGTACAACCTTTGTTTTCTTTAGCCATGGACCCTTGGCTAAGCATTACCGAAGCCTTTGCCTAGTAATGTCCTGGGTTTTGCCTGGGTTTCATAAACTGCTCTCTTGTTGTGAGTACTATTTGGAGTACCATGGGTTTCATGGCATCTGACAATATAAGCCTACATACCTACCCACACAAAGACCTTAATAAATTGGGTTGTCAGTAGATGGATGTGACAGTACACATTTCAGCTACAAAACAAATAAGTGGATAAATAAAATAAAAATGAATTGAATCAATACTCAAATACATATACATGTATACATGTGTACAAGTAGATGCTGTATACTAAATGGAAATTTATAATTTGTGTTTTAAAGGCATCAAAGCTACGGTAGGTCTCAAAGCGCTTTACAGTTATCGCAGCTATCACATCCAACAAAATTTAAATGACAGGTAGTTCATGTTCAAGTTTCTACATGTATCATGTGACCCATATTACATTGGATACAATTTAGTGCGTTTGAAGTCTGTTACAACATGTATGCGACCGCATAGCCCCATAAACTTAATGTGGCCAATTTACTGGACTACCTCCGTAAATAAAGGCCACACTTCCACCATGTACAAAAACATGTCGAACTTTGTCAAATTTTGATTTTCACATTTCGGCTTAGTTTGTAGTTTATTTTTGCTTTGGAAACATACTCACCCTCTTTAGCTAATCAGAAAGTGCTGCCTTTTTCAGATGTCTAATTTTCGTGAAATTTCATGTTGAAATTTTGATATGCAAACGTGTGCAAACAAATCTGGAAATTTCACGAAAAATAGTGCCCCTTTATTTACAGAGGTAGTCCAGTAAATTGGGCACATTTATGGGGCTAGCAACCGCACAAATACTAAGGCAGACAATATTCAGCCGTTTTGTGGCTAAATGTTTATTACCATGCTATTCACGAAATCTTCAGAAACACACACATTCCAACCTCTAACTACTATACCGGTAGGTATCAAGTTAAAGGGTACAACAAGACCTTCCATTTAAGTGATGAAAATACTGATGTAAAGCGCTATCATCTTAGTTAAAAGAGCTATATATTATTTTTTTTGGTATGCCAGTGAGATGGGATATTGAGAAGTGTAAAAAAAACACCATTGTTTTCGGGCTAAATTGATGTATTTTACAATGTAAGTTGTCATTTATGGCACCTTGTTTTCACATGCAGATGCAAGTGTTAATGTGAGTTTTTGTTTATCAGACGGAGAGAAAGGTTCATATTTTATGCGAAAAGAATTAAAAAAAATTGCAAAAGAAAAACATCATTTCAAACTGATTATTTTATACTTTGCAATGTACACGTAGTTTCAGACAAGTACGTCAGACACCCATAATGGGATTTCTGTAAGTCTTCAGAACACGGTCAGAGCATACCGACCCGAACGTCAAGTTATACATACATGGTTCTTCTCAGAACCATTCTCTTAGTTGAGAAATTATTCGCACATGGTGTTTCCGCAAACCTTTCAGCCTCAAATCTTACTTATTCAGTTTGTCGGAGTACATCCGACACCATGGTGTTTTGAGCCAATTTCTACTGCAGCTAAAAAGTTGGATGAATAATTTCCTCACGTTGTAAATCATTGCATTTACTTACTCAGCGTTTTATAAACCAACACAGTTGATTGCAGTTGTCATAATTTGTTGACTAAATGTATGTTTGCAAAAAAAAAATACTTAAATAATTAACCATACAGTGTGTAAATGGTAAAACATGAGAAGATTCACTGGAAATGTTTAATACTGTTGCCAAGGCTTCTTCATACTCTACCACTAATACTTCATACATTTATGTATGTCTTAAAAAACTAAGTTGAACAAATGTCAATGACAGCAAATTTCCCCTGATTATTATTCTTAACGTTACACTACATTTACTGTACATTTACATTTGCACAAGAAGTATCAACTAGCCTTTGGTCAGTTCAAACACTCAGCACGAAAATGCTCAAGACTCGCTTAGAATGTACACTCATACATGTAATGGGAAATATCATTTTGTGCATTTGATTATATGGAAGAAATGTCCGATTTTTTTTTTTACATGTACTGGTAAATGTACTACGGTATACCGGTATGTTGCATTTCACAGTGTTATCTAAATGGAAACTGATAAGACTGCAATGAATAGAATTTTAAGAGTTAGCCTAATGGCCCTATTGGTGTAAATGATGATCAGTCTATCACAAACATGGTCACAACCTTGAAATAACGTTGATTGTTTGAGGTTTTGGATGAGAAATATGTAAGCATGAAAGGGATTGACCATATATGGTTGCCCAAATTCCTCGAGATGTGAGCAGGGCACACCGGGTCACGCTGAGTAGAAGTTTTATGACCAGAAAAGCCTGCATATGTACCGGGGGTACAGTATGGA